AACTTCTCCTTTTTCATTTCTAATTTTATTGATTTGAGTCCTCTCCCTCTTTTTCTCAATGAGTCTGTCTAAAGGTTTATCAATTTTGTTTATCTTCTCAAAGAACCAGCTTTTAGTTTTATTAATATTTGCTATTTTTTTCTTTGTTTCTGTTTCATTTATTTCTGCTCTGATCTTTATGATTTCTTTCCTCCTGCTAACTGGTTTTTGTTTGTTCTGCGTTCTCTAGTTCCTTTAGATGTAGGGTTAGATTTTTTATTTGAGATGTTTCTTGTTTCTTGAGGTAGGCTTGTATTGCTATAAACTTCCCTCTTAGAACTGCTTTTGCTGTATCCCATAGGTTTTGGATCATCGTGTTTTCATTGTCATTTGTCTCTAGGTATTTTTTGATTTCCTCTTTGATTTCTTCAATGATCTCTTGGTTATTTAGTAATGTATTGTTTAGCCTCTGTGTTTTTTTGTTTTTTAGGTTTTTTTCCCTGTAACTGATTTCTAATCTCATAGCGTTGTGGTCAGAAAAGATGCTTGATATGATTTCAGTTTTCTTAAATTTACTGAGGCTTGATTTGTGACCCAAGATGTGACCTATCCTGGAGAATGTTCCGTGCACACTCAAGAAGAAAGTGTAGTCTGCTGTTTTTGGATGAAATGTCCTATAAATATCAATTAAATCTATCTGTTGTACTATGTCATTTAAAGCTTGTGTTTCCTTATTAATTTTCTGTCTGTATGATCTGTCCATTGGTGTAAGTGAGATGTTAAAGTCCCCCACTATTATTGTGTTACTGTCGATTTCCTCATTTATAGCTGTTAGCAGTTGCCTTATGTATTGAGGTGCTCCTATGTTGGGTGCATATATATTTATAATTGTTATCTCTTCTTCTTGGATTAATCTCTTGATCATTATGTAGTGTCCTTCCTTGTCTCTTGTCACATTCTTTAAAGTCTATTTTATCTGATATGAGTATTGCTACTCCTGCTTTCTTTTGATTTCCATTTGCATGGAATATCTTTTTCCATTCCCTCACTTTCAGTCTGTATGTGTCCCTAGGTCTGAAGTGGGTCTCTTGTAGAGAGCACATATATGGGTCTTGTTTTTGTATCCATTCAGCAAGCCTGTGTCTTTTTGTTGGAGCATTTAATCCATTCACGTTTAAGGTAATTATCGATATGTATGTTCCTATGACCATTTTCATAATTGTTTTGGTTTGTTTTTGTAGGTCCTTTTTTTCTCTTGTGTTTCCCACTTAGAGAAGTTCCTTTAGCATTTGTTGTAGAGCTGGTTTGGTGGTGCTGAATTCTCTTACCTTTTGCTTGTCTGTAAAGCTTTGGATTTCTCCATCGAATCAGAATGAGGTCCTTGCTGGGTCAAGTAATCTTGGTTATAGGTTCTTCCCTTTCATCACTTTAAATATGTCATACCACTCCCTTCTGGCTTGTAGAGTTTCTGCTGAGAAATCAGCTGTTAACCTTCTGGGAGTTCCGTTGTATGTTATTTGTCGTTTTTCCCTTGGCACTTTCAATAATTTTTCTTTGTCTTTAATTTTTGCCAATTTGATTACTATGTGTCTCGGCGTGTTTCTCCTTAGATTTATTCTGTATGGGACTCTATGCTTTTCCTAGACTTGGGCAGCTATTTCCTTTCCCATGTTAGGGATGTTTTCGACTATAATCTTTTCAAATATTTTCTCTGATCCTTTCTCTCTCTCTTCTCCTTCTGGGACCCCTATAATGCGAATGTTGTTGTGTTTAATGTTGTCCCAGAGGTCTCCTAAGCTGTCTTCATTTCTTTTCATTCTTTTCTCTTTATTCTGTTCTGCAGCAGTGAATTGCACCATTCTGTCTTCCAGGTCACTTATCCGTTCTTCTGCCTCAGTTATTCCGCTATTGATTCCTTCTAGTGTAGTTTTCATTTCAGTTATTGTATTGTTCATCTCTGTTTGTTTGTTCTTTAATTCTTCTAGGTCTTTGTTAAACTTCTTGCATCTTCTCTATCTTTGCCTCCATTCGTTTTCGGAGGTCCTGGATCATCTTCACTATCATTATTCTGAATTCTTTTTCTGGAAGGTTGCCTCTCTCCACTTCATTTAGTTGTTTTTCTGGGGTTTATCTTGTTCCTTCATCTGGTACATAGCCCTCTGCCTTTTCATCTTGTCTATCTTTCTGTGAATGTAGTTTTTGTTCCACAGGCTGCAGGATTGTAGTTCTTGCTTCTGCTCTCTGCCTTCTGGTGGATGAGGCTATCTAAAAAGCTTGTGCACGTTTCCTGATGGGAGGGAAGACACATGTTCTTAGAAAGGCTTTTGTTCTCTAAGTCCTGAAAGTTCAAGTTCCTTTTACTACAGAAAAACGCTAGATGTGCTAAACCCTCAGACTACAAAGGTGTGATAATATAGTATATGTAATTATTGCTCTCAAGAAATTCACAGTGTATAAAGGGAGATGTTTATACAGACAATTAACAATGAAACATACTAACAACATACTATCATAGAAGTGTGCAGCACAAAAGCATGGGTACCATGTATACATAGTAGAGAAGCATCTAATTCTGTTTTTGAGAGGAAGGCAGATAAATTTTCATAGAGGCATTAATATTTGAGCTAAGTCTTTTTTTGTTATTAATACCATATCAATTTGCAGTTTTACAGGAACCAAGATTCATGTTCCTTAGGTGCTAATGTACTTTTATGTTGCACGCACATAGACGCACACACAGTTTAATCAGTAATTTTTCACCTATAGATTTTTCTTAAAAAAACAAAAAATTCCTGTGTGGCACAAAGATCTGTCCAAATTAATCTAAACACAGCAGTAACAAAACAAAGAGCTAAGTGTGGAGGCTTCCAGTGCAGAAAGAGGTCCTTTGGAGGGGAAGCCCAAAAAGATGATCAATACACTGACTTCCTGGGAGGGCAAAGGATGGGGATGGAGAATGCATTCCCTACTCTGACATGAAATCAGTTAAACATTTCAAAAGGAAAGGGGGCTAAGAAAATAAGAAAGTGGAATAAGGCAAGGGTACCTTTTACCCATCTAAATTCCTAAGTAATTTCCTCAACAAAGTAGAAAGAAAACTTTCTTCCACTACCTTCTACAGAGCTGAACTGCTTTGGGACTGTCAAAGATTGTAGCCTTTAAAGTCACCAGTGCATATTCCCTCTGGATTATCATGACTATGAGTTACAAGTTGAAGGAACTCACAGATGATTTTCTTTCAAGTTTACTGAATTTTCTTGTTGGAAAGGGAGGAAGACACTTAGAAGTCTCAAATGGGGATCAAAGATTACCAAACGTCCTCCATCTGATGTCAACGTGAACTGTTTTGTTGTCTTTTAATTGTGCATGGAGCCCGTCAACACAATTTGGCCCTGCCTGGTCACCCTTACCTAAAGCTTCTTGGAAAACACTCTCAAAAGGGGCACCCTGCACCACGGTAGAGGTGCCAAGACATTTTATGTGCCTGAAAATGAAAGGAATCCTCAAACAACACACACCCAATAAGCTAGCCTCCAAGTTAAAGCTCCATATGAACCACAGAATGCACTTCCCTACACTAATCTGTGGTCTCTAAACCACAGACACAGTCTCCTCTCAAGCCAGCTCAGCTTTGGTCCTTGGGGTAAAACGATGAGCACAAGTTAAAGATGTACCATATGAAGGAGGAAGTTGTAGGGAAAAGAGAAAAAGGCCTTTGTGTTTCTGTAGTTCACCTCTTGAGACTATTTCCCCACCCACGGACTGAGACAGGATTACAATAACTCAGTAACTGAGGAGCCCATATGCAGATTAATTTTGTTTTGAGCTAAGTCTTAAGAATCAGTCTGAGCTCACCCAATAGATGCAAGAGGCCAGGTCATGGAGAGCCTTGACGGCCTTGTCAATAGATTGAATTTTCTTCTTTAGACATTATGGGGAACTCTGGGAAGAACAGAAGGACACAATCGAAGTAACTTTGACATGATGTGTACAATGTATTGATATTTAAGATAGTGGAGGAAGAGAGAATCCTTTCCAATTTGAGTCACAGGGTCAGTTAAAGTGTTCCTTGCCTAGTTTTCTTTTTCAAAGGGAATAGAGTGCTCTAAGGAAGTAGGGAATAGATGTAGAAGAGACATGTCTGCTTTCCAGGAAGTGTCTTTTTTATCTCACCCACTTTTCTGAAGCTGCACTGTTTTGGAGGATTCCTGTTCCTGAATTCATTCTTCTGTCAAGTCAGGTGACCCATTAGGTCATCAGAAGTAGCTTGAAAAATCAGGAACTTATGAGTTAGTTTCCATGATTCTCCCTTCTACTTGTTATGTAATATCAGTGGGTCTTTAAAAAGGATGAGGAAAAAAGAAAAGGGGAGCTGATGGGCCCAGGTAAGTGGACTTTCCTTAGAGAAGGAAGCCTTCGTAAAGCACGTGTGGCCTAGAAGGCAGTGTAGTCTCTGACGAATAGCAAAGGAGTAATCTCTGGTCTTTATTCTTCCTCTCCTGTGGCTTGCTTGGGTCCTTCTGGAAGTGTCAGTTTCCTTTGGTGTATTGTTCTGGATTTGGTAGATAGTCAAGCCTGGGACTGCAGTCATGGTTTTATTGTCCAGATCATGGTGACTTGTGAAAGGGCAGTGGCCTGTTGGTGCCTCCAAATCTATGGCCATTGAGCATCCTGGTCCTGGCCTTAATTCCAGGCCTTAACTTGGCCTAACTTAACTTAGGCTCTGGGAAAGCCAGGGCTTGTTGGGCAAACACGTGGCCAAGACTGTATTACAAAATGGAAAGAGCTCAGCTACCAGGCCTTTGGGGTTTGCGGACTTATCCCAGATTCAGAGTGAACTCATGGAGCTTCTGAGGAAGGAACCCACTCTGTGTTCAGTCAGTTCAGATAGCCTGTTGGAGTGACCCTTGGTAACAAACAAAGCTGGTCTTGTGGCCCTGACCCTGCACGCAGACCACTTTGGAAAGGGAGGAAAGGGTGACTGAAATTCTCAGGTAGACTTTGTCCTTTGGTTTTTGTAGCCAAATCTGGATTCTCAACTGAAAAGCAGGGGCCAGCAAATACAGGAGGTAAGGATTCTGGGAGCTGGACTCTGTGAACTACCCAGTTGTTCAGAGGACATCTCCCTCTTCTCCATGTCCCATGAGGTTTAGCTGACTTACAACTGAATCTACTAACCTCTCTGCCCTTTTTTCTGCTCTTTCTCTCCTTGCAGAAGGAAAGCGAGGAGCCCTTCAGGTTGTGCTCTGGCCCTTTAGGGCCCTTTTTGTTGTCAATTCTCTCCTCTCCCTCCTGAGCACAGTGTGTGTGTGTGTGTGTGTGTGTGTGTGTGTGTGTGTGTGTGTGTGTGTGTGTGTACACACGTGTGCTTATGATCTGTGCCTCGTGAGCTTTGGCTCATGCAGCTAGTCTGTTTTTCCTGAAAGCAGTTTGTGTGCATGCTCCATGCTTGTGTGTGCTCCTGCAGACATCCCTGGAGCAGTGTGAGAATGTATGTGCCAGCATGGTGCACATTCAATGTAGCATGTGTGTGCTTATACCTGTGCTCAGTTTGACTCCCCCAGATACTGATTGCCTTCCTCTTTTCCTACTTTGCACAGTGTGTGTCCGTTTTCTACTTATTGCTGCAGATTGGCATATGCTGTAAACCCTTGCTGAGCCCAGCATGCATTCACATTTTGTATTTGAGAGCAGGAGCTTCTGTAGGCTTTTTGTACCTCTTGCCTAGGGCCGAAATGTGTGCTTCTGAGCAGGCTTCCTAGCCTCTCTGTGAGCACAAGCTTCTGTAGACCTGTGATGTGGTTTCCCCATGCCATGTGAATGCATGGTATACTAACGCTCTGTGCCTCCAAGCACTGGTTCCTGAAGACAGTAAGGGTTTCTTTTGCCAGTGATTCGGGCCCTAGTGAATACTGAATCCTCCCCCAGGTGGGTGTGTGCACATGTTCTGTAGCTCTGTGTGCAGGATCTGTGCTCACCTATGCTTCCTCAGGTGCAAGTGGTGTCTATGAATGTACCTCCTATAGGCACTTTGTCTAGACCTCCTCTCATTCCCCCGGCCCTCCTTCTGTGCCCTGCGTGTGCATGCTCTATGCTGTGTCTGCAGGCTTCTGCAGACCCATTGTCCCCTCTAAGCACAGGAAATGTGTATGATCTGAGCCTGTGAACTCTGGTTTCCAAAGGCTTTTTGTGACTTTGTTTCCTTAAGCCCAGTGGTTTCTGGCAAACATCTAATTCTAGGTAGGAAATAAAGATCTGCTCAGTGCGGTGACTGTTTCCAAAGGGAGGATAAGTTCTGGTTGGTAGGATCTGGGGATTTAGGGATGGGCTACCCCTCACAAGAAGCTTAGGAGACTTGATTCAACCACTTCTGGCTGCCTTTTGGGCCTGGCCCTCCCTCTACCACATCATCCCACTCAGAACCAGGGCAGCAGGCAGAAGCAGCGAAATGTGGTCATGAAGGGCTATAGGCAGTAGACAGATAGGCTTGATTAGAGTACAGGCGACCTGAGAAGGGTCTTACTGAAAAGGGTCTTAAATCCGAAGTTCATCTGAAGCCTGATGCTGATCCAGCGTCATTCTTACCCACTTTTACATCACTCATTAACCTTTCCTACCTCTCCTTTTTGTACTCTCGCCTCATTTTGTCTGTAACTTCTCCCATCTTTAGCCCTCCCAAAACTTCGCCCCTGTCCAGACCTTAACAGCTTACTTCTGCCTCCCTTGTTCTGGAGCTCATTTGCTCAGGATAGTTAGCTGGACCCAGGTCTCAGGAGGCAGGGAAGTTGTTGGGAGTGGAGGGGTACAAGGAGGGATGGGAAGCCCCAGACCCACTAGCTCTAGGTCTGTTGAGCCTAAACAGCATGGACCATTGGTTCTCTGGAGAGCCCTGGCAGCTTTGGAACTCTCTCTGTACACTGCTTGAAGGATTTGCTTTGGGTCTCTTTACAGAAACCTTTAAAACGTGTTTTCTAACTGTTCCTTCCTTGAGTTATTTGGTGCCTCAATTTTCAACTTCTTGTAGAGAAGAGAATTCAACAGAGTGATAATCTGAGTATCTAATCTGTCCTGGGTTCTCTTGTTAAATAGAGCTTATCAAATGTAGACTGTACTCAGTGTCAGTGAGTTAGAGCTTCAAGGAACCTAGGCCAGGTCAAATCACAAGATGAGATAGGAATCCAGAAAGACCAGGTCTGACGCTGGGGCAGCCAACAGAACTTAGGAATATAGCTGGAAGAAGACTGGCCTCCATGTGAAATTGTCCTTTTGCTTTAGTGAGGCGTGGAAGCCTGCATGGACCCTTCTCCCGGCTTTGGCTTACTATTATATATACCAGTGGGTTGTGTGAGGGGCTGAAAGTTCTGGCAGCTCTCACATTCCCAGTGGACCTTAGTCCTGGGATCTCTGTGAGCTTGGCCTTATATCCTCCCTATTCACTGGGGAGAAGGGAGGTGAAGTACCACTCATTTCAGCAGCCTGCTTGTTGCCCTGGCTGATCATGGAATTGGCTTACACATCAGGCTGGTTATGTCACCACGTGGTGTATGTGACCTACACTGCTCTGAGCTTCCTACTTTATTGCTCACTGCTTGACCAAAGAAATATGGCAATCTCCCATCTCTCCCAGGATCTAACTTTTTTTCCTCTCTCTCTCTTTAAAGATTGCAGATGATGGTGATACCTCTTTGCCCCAGTGGCTCCCAGAAGGGTAAGTGTTGTACCACAAGGTTTCTGTGGATCTTATGCAGTCTGTTATGCTGCTTCTAGTTTTTCCCCTGGGAAGCAGGAGAAACAGCTTCATCAGCTGGATTCTGGGGAAGGAAGAGATTCCACTGTAGAGATTGCTTGGTTCTCTGGGGCAGAAGACAGAAGTCTGCAGACTGATTCCTCAGAGACAGAAGAGAGAGCTTTGCAGGGGAGGGAACTTTGGGGCTCCCCTATCCTTACCTCTGGAATTTCTGATATATTGCATCATAGTGGTGATATACCCTTTATGTATGGGAATGAGGAAACTAGAAACACATCTGCGTTTAGAGACAGTTTCCTTCTATTCCACTGTTGATAGTGTTGCTGATTAGATTACTCCCTGGGCTCCATCTATCTTCAGCTGTTGTGAGTCATCTACTTATTCCATTCCACTGTAGTGAAGACGTAAGTAGCGTCCCGTAGGAGCTCTGTGTGTTCTGTCTGTCTGGGAGTTTCAGACCCATGTGATTGCACCAGAGAGGCATTTCAAACTGCTCGACTGCTGCCTATAACTCACTGACTGTGCTTGGGAGAGAAGAGCGTTCAAGCGCCTGCGCCACCCACACCGCCACATACACTCCTCAGGAGCTTGAGAACCTTCCTTCCCTCCTTGTCCCACACAGGCCTTCGGACGTAGAAATGCTCAGTGGCTGCCTCCTCTTCCTTGTCACCAGGGAAGAGAAAAGATTAGATCATAAAGTTCTCTACTGTATTTTTAAATGCTCCTTTTCCTTGTGATTTGTCTTTTTTATAGCAAGAGCTAAACATGTGAAAGAACCACCCTTCTTTTGTCAAAAGCTCACTTTTGTTGCAAAAAAAAACTTCTCGGCTTAAGGACTGCATTTTATAGTTTTCAGAATTAGCCAAAAACTTGTGGCGCCCGTTGCTTCTTCAACAGCCCTTCTTCAGGGCTTTAGCTTTTTTCTTCAAATGATTTTCAAATCCATACATGCCAGTGGAACATATCCAGGCTATTTTTAAATGGAGCCAGGCAGTGATTTTCTAAATGCCTCCCTGTTGCCTTCTTTCCCTTCCTTCAGCTTAGTCCTTGGAAGTTGTCACAACTTTCGATCTACCGTTGGTGTGGTAGTCTCATTGAGAACAAAGTTCACTGCCTGTATTCAGGAAGCTGGATTATTAGAAATCAGCATATCGGGTTGCCTGTTCCAATTCCTGGCCTTGACCCAATTTGTGGCTCCATTTTTGGCCTATATAGCTGGCAGTACACACTTACTCTTCTGTGACATTTCTCTTTTCAGACCAGCTGTGGTGTACAACCCAGCCACCCTGCTTTCCCCACCTCGTTGCTTTCATTAAAACCAAGTACATGAGTTATTTTAATTGAAGCTCAGAATAGCTTCCAAAAGGTCAGAGAGGTTTTATAGTTCATCCCCCTCATTTTATGGAAGTGACACCAGGACCCAAAGAGAGGAAGGAAGTTTGGCAGAGGACATGTAGTGAACTAGTAGAAGAGTTGGGGATGAAATCCAGGTTATCTCAAGGTGAGAAGGGTGTTCTTTTGGGGAAATTCTCTATATTTTTATTGCATATTGTTATGGAGGAACAGACAAACAGCAACAAAATTAGTAAGTATAGAAAAGGTATAAAAGTTTTAGAGATCTCAAGTTTCTCCAGCTGTAATTTTTTCCTGGTCCCTGTTGATGTGACCATAGGGCTAGGCCTGACTCTGAGTCACTTTGCTGTTTCCTGCTTAAATGGTCTTTTTTCCCCCAAATGATCTTTTGGAAGTCTCTCATCTGCTTCCCCTGCCTCCATTTGATTATGCAGGCTCCTCTTTCCGTGGAGACCCTTTTTCTTCAGGAGGCTTGGATAGACAGAACTGGTGACTCTTTTACTCAGGTTGGAGAAGGTCTCCTTCTACATGTTATTGTTTGCCAGTCTTGCTCACCTAGGCAGCAGCTCTTCTGTAGAGCTATTCCTGTGGGCTCTGTTCTAGCGCAGATCAGGAAAGACTTACCTTTAGTCTGGCCTGAGTGTAAGGAGGAGCTCTCTTAACCACCAATTCCCACCTTGCTTTATGGAGCACAAGGGCCTTCACATAAACAAAGGAGCCTTGGACTGGCACAGTGGGATAAAAGAGCTCTCAATCCTTGGCTAAAACCTCAGAAGGAGACACTGAGAGCAGATTCCATTGTTTGTCATCCCATGGCTTTATTTCACTCACTTTCTGTCCTCCTTACCCCTCTTAAAGGCACACGGTGGAGGTCAGTTCATCTTCCTCTGAGGAGAAGATGAGCAAGGAGGATGGAACATTGAACCTGCCAGTAACTCAAGGTGAGACTAAAGGTACTGATATGTTTTCTTCTCTCCTCAGGCCAGCTGGAGGACTCTATGGCATTGACAGCATGCCAGATCTACGCAGAAAGAAGCCACTGCCGCTTGTCAGCGATCTGGTGAGTAAGGACTCTTGTGAAGGCTTAGGCTGTAGCCTTGGGATATCCCCCACTGGGACTTGGCCAGCTTTCAGGACTGGAAGTGGGGCCTTTAGTGACAAGTGTTAGTCTGACGATCAATCATTTAAAGCTTTACTGAGACTTAGTGATGGCTTCAGTAGGACCTTACATTTCACTCCCTTGTCAGAGCCCCAGGTTCTTCATTAGCTGAAGCTCCTACTAGAACATTTATAGCTTGGACCCTCAAAGCTGGGCTCCAGGGTCATCTTCTAGTTATCCATCTCCTCTAGGTATCTCTATAGCCTTCTCTGATGACCTGTAATGGAAACTTCCTCTGGTCCTGAACTAGATAATTGAGATTCGTGTGTGATGGGCATGACAAATGTGACTCCTTCTTGGAGGTCAAGTGAAGTCTCCCAAGGCATAGGTTTTCTAGACTATCTCTGTACCCTTGTGTCTAGCACTGGGAGGTAGTGATAACAATTTGTGGAATTGAATTGAAACAGGCTTAGGAGTTAAAGCTGATCTCAGACCTCCAGCATGACCAGAAGCTCCTATCTGGGCTCATACCTCCTAAGGCAGAATCAGCTCAAGGAATTTTCTGTAGTTTAGTGAGTAGTGGGGGGTAGAGTGGTACCCAGATCATCTCAGAGTCCCAGAGCCAGATGTTCAGTAAGACTTGAACCCTTTTTCTTATTACCATTTTCTACTCCTATTTTCTTCTTTTTTTCTCCCTATTCAGTCTATTTTGTTTTTTCTATCCACTCCTTTTTTGATTTTTCCTCCATACTGTGCTCTTTTTTCTCCACCAGTTTCTCCCTACTTAATTGACTGAGTAGAAGTTTCCTCTGCCATTTTCTCTTCATCATTTCTTTCTTTCCTTTTTCTTCCCCCTGCTATTTGTATATCTTTCCCTCTTTCTTCTTTTCTAATGCACCTCTTTTCCCACCAACTCTTCATCAAGCTGGTTGGATGAAGATAAATTCAGATGTCATCTCTTCTTTATTACGTCTTTCATTGTCTTTCATCTCCTCTTTTTTCTCTTCTTCCTTTCTTTTCTTCCTACTTTTTCTCGTCTTCTCCCTCCTTGCTCACCAGCTGTTTTTTGTTTAACTGATTGGATAGCAGTATCTCATTCACTTCTTGTTTCCCCTCCTCTGTCTTTTAACCTTGCCCATATTTCGCACTATGGCATAACTCGCCTTCTAGGCCTTGGGCCCTGGTCAGCTGTCTGGGTTGAAGACAGTTTTTAGTTGATAGAGGCAGAGGGGGTTGGGACATGTTTCCTACTTTGGACTATAGGGAAGAAACCTCTCAGTTGTCTCTGAAAGCTTTCATGCCCTTGTGGGGCTTTAACATCATGTTGTTCCTTTCTCTGCTCTCCTCTGCACAGGCTATGGTAAGTGTCTCCAGAGCCCCTTTCTATGCTTTATAAGAGTCCATATCCCAAGCACCTGGGCACATCCCAACTGTTCTGCCCGCTTAGGCTGATACAGTGACTTCTGTCTGCCTGTGTCCCCTGCTTTAGGGAAACTATGTGCCTCTCCAGGGGCTGTCCCTGAAGCTTGGGCTTGGCAGATTCATGGGCCTCTCCATATAAGAGCCTGGCTAGCAGGACATCATAGCTGTCACATTTAACCCCCTACCCTGCTTGATTTCAGTGAGGCTACATTGCCCCTTTCACTCTCAAGTGCCCTGCTCATTTGGGCTTTTGGCCTCCACAGCTTCCTGGGGTTGTGTGGGCAGGGGGTGATACCAGAGAATAGAGGATATAGTATAGAATCATAGTTCCCAGTGATGGTTCTTGACTGTGACTCTGTCAGAGTTGTGTGTCTATCCTATTCTTCATGACCTGTTTTCGGACTGTAATTCTAATCTTTTCATTTTCCTTTGCCTTCCTTTAAACAAGGAGTTTCTGTGGGGTCAGATACCTAAAAACTCTTCGGATGATAGGTACCCTGAGAGAAGTGCTGTTCTGTCATTGTTAGAACAGTCCCTTAGGGCCTTGGATTTGGATATTAACCTCAGGTTCTTATTACCTATTATCCATGGCAATCCCCTGTGAATGACAGTAAAAATAGAGAGAACATAGTGAGTTATTATCAAATAGCTTTGGTCACTGAAACTCCCTCCCCAGGGCTTTGCCTAGCCCTTGGTAGTAGCCAGGGCTGACAGCAAGTCTTCTCTCACAGTCATTGGTCCAGTCCCGGAAGGCAGGAATTACTTCTGCAATGGCTACACGCACCTCTCTCAAGGATGAAGAGCTGGTAAGTGACCCATGGGCTTTCAAGAGTCCACTGGCCTATGGTCCAGTGAACATCTCTGTAGCCAAACTTACCGGGAATTCAAAAGTGTTGGGCACACTCTGTTAATGAAACAGATAGCATCAAGTTTTCTACACTGCTCCCCGAGGCAAGGGTCCAGACCAGGAGTAAACCTTAATCTCACGTTGGAGTATGTGACCACCAATGTCAGGGTTTTATGGTAAGCCTAGTTCCCTTTGTTCCTCTAAAAAAGCCTGAATACTGGGACAAGGCTCAGGCCCAGCATTCAGGTCAGACCTATCTTGGATGACCAGGAGCACATGATGTGGAGGGCTTCTTTCTGCCAGGCTGGGCTGTGGGCTGGGCCAAGCTAAAGCATCTCCTCAATTGCCGGAGGAGAAACCGGGGTCTTGAGAGCCCTGCAAGGGTCTTAGTTCTGGTATCTCCCAGCAGAGAACTGAAGTTGCTGGTGGGTGATGGGATATGTGTCTTTCAGAAATCCCATGTGTATAAGAAAACCCTGCAGGCCTTAATCTATCCCATCTCGTGCACCACACCCCACAACTTTGAGGTCTGGACGGCCACTACCCCAACCTACTGCTATGAGTGTGAAGGCCTGCTCTGGGGCATTGCCCGGCAGGGCATGCGCTGCAGCGAGTGTGGAGTCAAGTGTCACGAGAAGTGCCAGGACCTGCTCAATGCCGACTGCCTGCAGCGTGAGTCTCCCTGTGGGGTGATGGGTGGCAAACATGGGCAGCAGGGACTCTCCAAAAGAGTCTGGCAACAAAGAGCTAGGGTGGCCGGGACATCATCCCTCTATTCTACCTGATTCTGAAGTTCTTTCCTTTTTAGAGAAAGTAGGGTCCTAAGTCAAGAGACATTGCCATTCCAAATAACAGGTCTTGTAGCACTCTCTTAAGCACCTTTAGGAAAAATCCGTTGAGCTTTCTGTGGTCCTCTGATGGAGATAAAAATCCCTTCTAGGTTTCAGATGATCCCAGAGGCTATGCTTGAGTATTGTACACACTATGGTGGCCATATTGCCCAAATGACTAGAGCATGTTTAATCAGCCCAAGTGACTAGAGCATGTTTAAAACTAATGAGAAGAGAGAGTTCTGTGAGGTTCTAGGCCTCATAGAGGAACCTCCTGAGGTCTAGACCCTAGGACTCAGGGAAGCTGAAATTTATTCCTTGATTATAGTTGGAGCATTTAGACAACAGTGCCAAGAACAGAAGTTTCAAATGGATTAGGCAGAGATCCAGATGGAGAATGTGCCAGACTCCCATGGCCCTTGCTAAATATGTGACTTGTGCTGCCATCATAGAATGGGGAAAACAGGAGCAGGAAAAGCAACAATTCTCTGTCACAGGAGGTGGTAGCACTCTAAGTTCTTATCTCCTTGCTCCACTCCTGCTGGGCTTGCACTGCTGTAGCTAGACCCCAGGAAGAGCAGGGGTAGGGGATGTGGGATGTGGAAAAGTATTTTCTTGCCCCTCCAGGTCTTCAGGTGTTACTCAGAGCCAAGCCATAGCAATGAAAACTTCAAGGATTGTGGTAGGAGAAAGGAAGGTTGCCTTTAGACTCACAAGCAGTTCATTGTCCCAAGGAAAGATATGTGACATAAAAGGGGCCCAGGAAGAAGCCTCAAGGAATTGTTGACTTAAAATGTCTTTCTTTGAAGAACGCTAGATTGGTGCCAGTGGCATGGCTATAGTAGACATGAAGAGACAGGCAGAACATAGCAGAAGTTGGGTGCTGGTGATGACTTTGCCCAAATCCATCATGAGGGGCGACAAGCACAGGTGCCAGCAGACCCCTGCTTTAATTGCAAGAACTAGCAACTGGCTGCATAGGCTGCTTGCTGGAAGCCTCTGAAATGGTGCTCTGTAGCCAGGGTGTCCATCTTCCCTTTAAGAGCCTTTCAGAGGTCCCAGTCCAGGTAAATAGCATTGCATGGGATATGCTAAATGGCAAGAGTAGGATGCAGCCCAGGTCATTTTTCATTTATCAGAAAATATCTTCTGACTAAGGCTTCTGTGAAGCACAGAGTGGAATTAAATGCCCTTCTGTAGGCTTCACTGGACAGAAAACTTGCTTTCCATTCTCCCAGGGTTAGGATGCAGATGTTGACTTTTGTCCTTTGCTCCAAGTTTTGTAGTTAAGGCCTAAGACTTTGGAGACTGGAGAGAGGTTAAGAGCCAGTCTGCAGGATCAATAAAGGAAGAATGGGTCCTCTGCCCTGAGAAGCCTGGTTGGTGAAATACACTGGAGGAGTCTTTGTTCTGCCATAATCCTTAGGACAGCAGAGGAAGCTTACTGACCTTTGAGATGAGCTGGCTGGGGTCATGGCTGGTGAAAAAGACCCTTGGCCTTGCCAGGATAATAATGATGGTAACAATAATAGGGACTGTTTATTACTCGATAAATAAAGCATCTAGCCCAGTGCTAGATGGCAGGCACTGGGCTAGATGCTTTATATATGCTATCTAATATAATGCTTATTACAAATCCTGAGAGATAAGTGACATTTTCTTCTCTTAGAAGAAGCCTACTTACCCAGCAGGGAGTAGTGGAGTCAGGATTTGAACTCAAGTCTGTCTGATACCAAAGGCCATACTTTTCTCACCATACCACACTATTTTCTGAGATTAAAGACACTGGAGCTATGGGGCAGAACCCAGCTATGTGCTGTGACGAATTCTGAGATCTGTATCGTGGCTTGGCATTCGGATGAGATTGGTGGAGTTGTTGTGCCCATACACAACCCCTCCTTGATAACTGGGATACCCATTTTGATATTTTGGCCTTAGACTTGGAGGGTATCTCTCAACAAGCATGCAGATGGAAGAAAGACAAAGCCAAGTGCAGACTGAGCTACATATTTTGTTTTTCTTTTTTGATGAAAAACTCAACATATATCTAAATAGAGAGAATAGAATAATACACCCCCATAACAATGATCAACTTTTTGCTACTCTTTGAGTTGCATTTTAAACTCCACTAGCTAGGCATTAAACTCTAGCGGGCCCCACAGAGATCAACTTTTCCCAGAGACATACCAGTGTCTTCCTAAGCTTTTCCCACGGCTCAGTGACCTCTCCCAGGCCCCATTCTTCAGCCTGATCCTTGGTCTGGTAGGTGGCCTGTTGGTTACCCTACTTTCTGTCTCTGGCCATTCTTCAGGGGCTGCAGAAAAGAGCTCTAAACATGGAGCGGAGGACCGGACACAGAACATTATCATGGCCATGAAGGACCGCATGAAGATCCGAGAGCGGAATAAGCCGGAGATCTTTGAAGTTATCCGGGATGTCTTCAATGTGAGCAAAGTTGCCCATGTGCAACAGATGAAAACAGTGAAGCAGAGTGTGCTGGATGGCACCTCCAAATGGTCGGCCAAGATTACCATAACTGGTGAGCAGGCCAGAGTTTGAGAGGACAGGAGGGCCTTGGCTATGGGGAGGAGCCTGGGGAAGAAGCATCCTGAGTGTGAGGGAGTAGGGGCTGGGGAGAAGGAGCACAGAATGAAGGAAGAGGGAGGGCTTCATTATTCATCACCGCTCCTCTCCTAGACTCTGATGCCAGGGGGTGCTGGGAGAGGCAAGACTGGCACCTGCAAACAATACGAATGATAATACCAGGATTTGGTAACAGTCTGATGTTATAGACTTGGTTAACAGTTTGATATTATAAGAGCGGGGAGGGTGGGGGTAAGGGGACAGGCAGGAGATTAGTGAATAGTTAACCAGTGATTTACTAACTGGGTGGATATGGCTGAAGCAAGCATGTATCAGAACAGATAAGGACCTGTTGGGGTAAGTGGTCAGTTAGGGCTCTAGTGGGGAGGTAGGATTCTTGGGCTAGGCTTTGAGGGAAAGGCTCATGGCTTAGGGCTAAGGATAGATGTGGAGGAGTGAGAAAATCTGCTCCTGTGCAAGGAGCAGATAGAGGCTGCTCTAAGATGGGAAATATGAGTCGTACTTTGGAGGGCTTATGACTTCTGGAGTGTACTCTGAAGCCTCCTTCTATGTGCATTTGGGTTGCAGTGGTGTGTGCCCAGGGCCTACAAGCCAAGGACAAGACAGGATCCAGTGACCCTTATGTGACTGTGCAAGTGGGCAAAACCAAGAAGCGTACCAAGACCATTTTTGGGAACCTGAATCCTGTCTGGGAGGAGAAGTTCCATTTGTAAGTCATAGTGGGCTTTGTCTTACCTGGGACTGTGTATGTTTTGGGAGCAGCATTAAATCTCATTGTTCTGGGCTTGGGCTCTAAGAGAGATGGGTCAGAGGCAGTGGAGAAAACCCATTTCTCACATGCTTCAATTGGGTAGCAGCTGTTCTTTCTCTGGGTTTCTTCTCATAGGCTATTGTATCAGGGTTACTGTACCCAAGCCCTGTCTTAACTAGGGCTATTAAAGGGGGCTTTGGGCGTCACATACTGCTTTTTTTAGTGCTAGAAAGATTTTATTGTACTACTGCTGAGTGACAGAACCAGGGACTGCCCACCCAACTGTGTATCTTCCAGCCCTGCCATCCTGCCTAGGAAGGGTTAGGCTCTTCTAGGAAGTGGGGAGGGAACATCTTTGTCCTACAACTGGATAATTCTGGCTTGAAGATGGGAACCTGGGATTTGGAGAATTTTCCATTTTCCTTAAGGGCCCTGCTTTTCTTTCTGCCTCAGCTTCCACTCCCTACTACTTTATTCATTATCTCACTTTTTTATAGACTATTTCGTATGACAATGAGGGATGGTTGTTGAAAAATGGCAAGCTCTAGCCGAGGACTTGGACTAATGTCTGGTGAATCCAGATGCTTTGTCACACCCCCTAATGCCTAGGACCAGGACTTTGTGGGGTTTTTTTTTTTTTTTTTTTTTTTTTGCGGTACGCGGGCCTCTCACTGTTGTGGCCTCTCCTGTTGCGGAGCACAGGCTCCGGACGCGCAGGCTTAGCGGCCATGGCTCACTGGCCTAGCCGCTCAGCGGCATGTGGGATCTTCCCAGACCAGGGCACGAACCCGTGTCCCCTGCATCGGCAGGCGGACTCTCAACCACTGCGCCACCAGGGAAGCCCAGGACCAGGAATTTGAATCAGCCAAGCAGGCAGCTTATGTAGAGACTTTTTTCTGTTGGCTCCTTGGAAGGGGATTGGGGAAAGGGATTGGGGCCTATAAAATCAGTCTCTAATCCAGAGACAATAGTTACTGGGGGGAGCACTTGTTTTTCAAGAAGCTGAATGGTTCCTGCTTGAATATTACCTATGATTAATTCTAAATGAATTGGCTCCATAGTCAATTTTGCCCACTTTTATCATTTAGCAAGCAATTTGTATTCTGTATAAGACACTATACATGATGTTGTGTATCGAAAAATGTATAAGACATCCCTGGCTTCAAGAGGCTGATTGATGATTTGTCTATTATTTTTCAGAAGACCAGTAGCTATACTATAATATTTTAATGGAATGTGCAAAGATATTTTGAGAACATAGGGTAAGGAGCAGGAGATTCTGCCAAGTACAACTTTTGGATAAGGCAACAGGGATCCAGAAAGCAACTGCTGGGGAAGAAGAGAGTGAGGGAGGAACCTGGGCAAACTACCTCCTCCAAAGCAAACACCATGGAGGAAATGATCATTCAAGTGGATATTAAAGAATGATAGAAATTCACCAAGCACATTCTTAGATAGATGGGGGTGTTAGGTAGAAAGCTAAAGCATATATGACCAGATGGACTTACCATGAACATTTAACACCTTTATGGACTTCATATAGGATTCTGGGGAGGCAACTAGCAGCTGCTTCCTAGGGCTCTGTGGCATCTGTCTGGCTGTTTTCTGTTGGTTTTGTTGGTACAGCTAGCTGATAGGAAATCAGAATTGTCCCTAATTACTCCTCCCCTCCTCGCTTTTGTCCCAGGGCAATAAGGACTGGATAATGGTATGTAGAAAGCTACCCAAGCTAAGGAATGAAGAGCCATTTGCTGGGATAGCCTGACTCACTTGGGACTTGAGTACCACTGTTCTTTGACTCCTTCTCTTCCTCTGCAGGGCCTCAAGTGCAGCTGATAGAGCTTTGGGAGGGAATTGGAAGTAATAAGAGTACGGGCTCCTGGGTCTCTTCGTAACAGAGCCTTCCTAATTCTTTCACAGTGAGTGCCACAATTCTTCTGACCGCATTAAGGTACGTGTGTGGGATGAGGATGATGACATCAAGTCAAGAGTAAAGCAGCGGCTAAAGCGAGAGTCTGATGATTTCCTTGGCCAAACCATCATTGAGGTTCGAACACTGAGTGGCGAGATGGACGTCTGGTACAACTTGGGTGAGGAAGCAGGACAAGAGAAAGTTTCTGGAAAGGGAGAGCATGAATGGGGAACCTGGGGAAACTCCTATCTACCAAAATCACCACTCAGTCCCCAAAGCACACCTCTATACAGAGCCTTGCTTCTCTGCAGAGAACCGACCATGCATAGAGATGGGGGACAGAGGAGTGGGGGTGTCTGGAACTCACTCTGGCTGGACAGTTTCCAGATTTCAGAAGGTCTTTTTATCTTCATACTCAGCCCTAATGCCTTTAGTCCCTTGGGCACTTCTTTTCTCCCACCCAGCCAGTTCTGGGGTATTTGTGGACTATATGGTCACTGAAATTAATTCACCTATTAGGTGAACACTTGGGTCAGTGCCTCCTTTTCCTTGGGTTAAGCCAGGTTGGGGGCTGTCTATGCTGTCTGCAGTTGCATTGGTGTCAATATCCAGTCTTCTTTCCTTCCTAGAGAAGAGGACAGACAAATCAGCCGTCTCAGGGGCTATCCGACTACAAATCAATGTGGAGATCAAGGGGGAGGAGAAGGTAGCCCCGTATCATGTGCAGTATACATGTCTCCATGAGGTGAGCCAGCTCTTGGTAGATGGGATGCCAGAAAGCAGTGTTGGGAGGGGCCTTTGACAATAAGTAGGATTGCTAGATGGTTGAAGATCTGGAGCCTATTTTTATTTTGTTCTTGGCTCACTGTGCTACCCTGGACAGCCCATATAACAGTCCCAGCCTCAGTTCTCTTTCACTAATGTGAGAACAGCCTACTGGGGCCACAGGAGTTACTGAGCAATGACTTGAAGGACAGAATTTCTATAGAATCCTATTCACATTCCCCTGGTCTTTACCAGCAGGTTTTTTTTTTCTCCAACATATATTTAACTCTTTAATATCAATATATATTTTACTCTGTCTTCTACAGAACCTCTTCCATTACCTCACAGACATTCAGGGCAGTGGAGGAGTCCACATCCCTGAGGCTCGAGGAGACGATGCATGGAAGGTGTACTTTGATGAGACTGCCCAAGAAATTGTGGATGAATTTGCCATGCGCTATGGCATCGAGTCCATATATCAGGCTATGACGTAAGGCTCCCCTGGGGCTCTAGGAAATGGCTGCTAACCTTTGGAGTAGCTAACAATGGAGGTACACTGACAGAGTGGATAGGTCTTCAGTGGGGTAGTATGCAGTGATTCATTGCTTTCCTCTCTGAGCTGGGTAGGGTGGATCTGTGCAAAGAGAGTATATGTATAAAAGGAGTGTGTTGCATTTCCCTGGTGGCACAGTGGTTGAGAGTCTGCCTGCCGATGCAGGGGACGCGGGTTCGTGCCCCAGTCCGGGAAGATCCCACATGCCACGGAGTGGCTGGGCCCGTGAGCCATGGCCGCTGAGCCTGCGCGTCCGGAGCCTGTGCTCTGCAACGGGAGAGGCCACAACAGTGAGAGGCCCACGTACCACAAAAAAAAAAAAAAAAAAAAAGGAGTGTGTTTGTCAGTAACTCAGGGGGAAGGTATCAGTCTGTCTACCCCGGAGTTCACAGGTAGGAAGAGAAAAGGGCATGGGAGGGTATACAAGGACAGACTTGCCCAAACATCACAGGCCTGAGCAGACAGGGTATGTGTGCTCAGGTATATGTGTGTGACAGACAAGCTTTCATAAACTGGCCTGGGAGTCAGAAAAAGCACTGAACTGTAGGGAAAGCAGCTGTGTCTGCAGTTGACCAAGACTCCTATAAAAGAAATTCCCACCTACTATGAGAAGAGGTGTAGTCTGTGTATTGGAAAGGCTGCCATTAGAAGCAGCACTAGGAAGCTGCACAGGAAGCAGCACTAGGTAAGCAGAGGGTAGCTAGTGCCCTGGCTGTGCTTCATTTATTCTACAAACTTCTACTTAGTTCCTTCTATGTGTCGTACGTTGTGCCACATGCTGAGAACACAAAGATGAATAAGATGGGGTCTCTGTGCTTGGGGAACTCAGTCTAGCAGGAGAGACAGACCAGTAAACAAACAATTACAATATAATATAATAAGTGCTATAGTAGAAGTAATCACAGTGTATTATGAGAGCATCTAAATTTTAGGGGAGGGCTTTGAAGAAAGCTGTTGAAGGGTTGGCACTTGAAATACAGAAAAGGAGGAAGGGTATTTCTGGTAGGGCATGTGCAGGGATGCTAAGATGCAACAGAGCATAGACTATTCAAAGAATTACAAGAAGTTTAGTTTAGATGGAAGAAACATGTCGAGGATTGAGGTTGGAGAATGGGCCCTCTGCCATTCTTACTCTGTTCACTCTCCCTGGATGAGCTCATTCAAGCCTATGACCTAGTCACTACTTCTGAGCTTAGGACTCCCAGATCTCTTTCTCCAGACCAGACCTTTTCCTGAGTTTCAGATCCATTTTCATTTGCTTCCTGGCTATTCTCATAGGCACTGCAAACTCAACATGACCAAAATCCAAATCAACATTATCTCCACCAAATCTGTTCTTCCTATATTCCCTATTTTAGTAAATGGAACAATTTATTACACAGTTATCCAAACAGAAATTTAGGACTCAGCCTAAACATTTCTTTCATACTACCACCATTCAATCAGTCTCTAAAACCTCTAGATTCTACTCCTAAATATGTTTTTAATCTATCAGTATTGCTATAGCTCAGTAATAATAATAATAACAGCAACAACAACAACTCCTATGTACCATTTCCTTATGTGCCAGGCACTGGTCTAAGTAATTTATGAATGTTAACTCATTTAATCCCCATATCATTATTATTCCCATTTTATAGATAAAAAGACTGAAGCATGAAGAAGTTGAAGTAATTTATCCAAGGTCACTGAGCGCTGGAGCTGAGACTCAAACCCAAAGTCTGGCTCTAGGGTCTGTGCCCTTAACCATTCTCTGTTCCATTTAGTGCTTCATTGCTTCTTTTCTGAGCGATTGCGGTAACTCTTCAATTGGTCTTTCTCTCTTAGTCTTATCTCTCTCCAAGTTTTCGTTTCTAATTTTTACCTTCAAAGTGACCTTTCTGAAAGACTAATCTGATCACAGTATGCCTTTGTTTAAAAACTTACTATAGCATCTAGGATAAACTCCTTTTTTATCTGTTCTCTGTCTACTTCTCCTCTTGCATTTCGTAGTATTCCTCTATCAAACACCTGAACAGTAGCCATGAGTGAGGTTTCCCAAATGAATGACTCTCCATAAGTATATTTGTTTTTGCAATACAGTTTCCCTTTGCCTGCACGCTTCTGCATTTGATTGATTCTTACTAATCCTTTAAGACTTGTTTCAACCATCTCTTCTTTGGGAAGCCTTTTTCTAATCCCTTCTAGCCCCCAGCCATTCTAATTTAGGTGATCTTCCTGTGTGTGTGCACAGAATTTTTGCATAGCATGCCTTGGGTTATTGACTTACTTTCTAACACCTGCTTTCTCTGCCAGAATGTCACCTCTTTGGATTCTGGCCCTTAGTGCCAGGCCTGGCACATAGTACACGTTCATTGATGTATATTTGAGTGAGTAAATTATGAAAATCCTTGTATGCCAAGGTGATCGGAAGCTTCATACACATGAGTGAGATCTTTTGATTACTTGACCTTTGCTGCAAACCCTGAAGAGCCTTTGAGGCTGAAGGTGCTGTTTTTCAGGCACTTTGCGTGTTTGTCATCCAAGTACATGTGTCCTGGCGTGCCAGCAGTGATGAGCACCTTACTGGCCAACATCAATGCCTACTATGCCCACACAACCGCCTCCACCAATGTCTCTGCGTCTGATCGTTTTGCAGCCTCCAACTTTGGGGTGAGTGTGACGTAAAAACATGTAACCTGATTGTTATCAGTTAACAAAGTTTGATTTTTTTAGTCAGTACTGCAGAGCTGATATGCCTGAAATTCAGATAGTTGCCACCTGGGTAATGAACTTACTTCCTTATGGGTAGTTAGACTATACTAGTAGACTCTCCTCAGACGTGGATAAGTGAGAAAAGGTGAAACAGCACCACTGTGGTTTGTGGGCTATGGCACTACCTGTGCTCAGGGAGAACCTCTCTGGGCCAACAGCTTGGTTGAATCACCATGTTCCTCAGTCCTGCAGGTTCACAAAGCAACCTGCTTAATATTATTCAGTCTCTCTGTGACGGATTCATACCACTTAAGTTCACATGAGACTGATGTCTAAGCAAGAATACCAGTTGCATACCTGAGCCTGTCCCTTTTCTAGTGTCTGGACAGTTTTCCTGATCCAGGATATGCCCTTTCCTGTTGTTAAGGTACTTGTGAAGTTGAATCATTGTTCATAATGTCACCTGACATAAGTTCAGTGTAAACTGGATGGTATATATCAGACTCACCACAAATATTACCTCTTTAGGGATAAAATTACTGATACTCCCAAATCTACTGGATCTCTGAGCCCTTTTTCTTGGTACTGACCACTTTTTTGATGTTGTTGATAGTCTTTCTGTAGATGAATTAGTATCATTGATTAAGCCAGTCAAATATCTGTTCCATTCTGTCTCTCCACATTATGTATTGACTTAACTAATATCTAATGCTATATATAATATTATCAGTATGTGAATTCTAGGAGTGCTGCACCAACAGCTTACAGGAACATGATTCCACGTTTAATTATACCTTTTCTATAAAAATAAGCTATTAAATAGTATTTGTTATTTATTTTAACATTTCAAAAGTATAAACTAAGGGAAATGATATGGAATGTGGTTTAAAGAGAAATCCCCTTGTGTCTCCCTGATCACCTTCCAGATGCATCACTATTTCTCTCTCCCGTCGTCACTGCTAGGCTGTGTCTGTTTAACTGTTAAGAGCTATTCCAAGATAAGTTAGGACACCACAGACACAGGAACAAGTTGGAGAATGTGTTTAGAGTTTCCTTTTATCTGACTAAGATGAGTTAGAGTCCCAAAGGGATGGAGATGCACTGGTCATCTCTTCTTGATTTGTACAGAAAGCTCTTTCCCCTCCCAGAGACTTGCTTTCCTCTTGCCAGCGTGAGAAGATTCCCCAGTTTAAGTGCTAAGAGATGGAACAGGAAAGACCTATCCCATTTCTCTTTTGCATGGTTTGTTGTTCTCCTCATGGGCAAATATGGGACAGGGTATGTCCCCAGCTCAGTGTCTCCCTCTCACCCAGAGATGGTTCTCTTTTTGCTACAGTCTAGAGAGCTTGGAAATAGATTATTTCTGTTCCTCATTATTTGTTTATCACCCTCAGAAAGAGAGATTTGTAAAACTACTGGACCAACTGCACAACTCACTGAGGATTGACCTCTCTACATACAGGGTGAGTGAAAACATGGCTGTGGGGTGGGACAAAGGGTAGTATCAAGATCAGTCTAGAGAGACTGTGGACCAATCATGACTATAAAGATGGAAGGCAAAGAAAATTGGTCTTTGTCATCACATCCACATATATGGCCAACGTCACTGACACCTGTGGTTCTTCAAACTCCAAGGACCATGCAGTGTGTAAATAGTAGCAGGTGTGGCTGCTTTTTATAGATAGTTGGCTTTCTAACCCCACTCATGTCACTCTACCGAACTCTCTGATGACATATTCATCAAGGAGTTTCCTAAGGATAATCTCTTCCAGAAAGACCCCTTTAAAAATTAGATAATTATATTTCCTTATTGCATCTTTCCATATTCTCCTCATTTTCCAGGAGAGGTGTGAGAATCTGGCTAAGGGGAGAGAGAGTATCTTGGCTTGGGCAAGTAATTTGTAGCAGATGTCATGTCCATTTCTAGAATGAAGGGAGGAAATAGATGTAGTAGGAGGGTGGGTGCCTAGGACAGGACGGGGAAATGGGCAGTTTTTCCATTCTTTCTAAGTTAGGCCTTCTTAGAATGACTTCATTACTTGCTTTAAAGTGTTGTGAATTTCCAGAACAGGCAATATATCCACATTAAAAAGTAAGTATAAAAACAATCTCAGAGTCAAAAAGAAGTGAGATTTTAATTATCTGCACTTTCAGTGCCCTCCATTTGCACGAATAATGGAGAGTTGACTGTATATCTTGTATTTGGCATATAAGTAGCCATTTGAAGGTTTAAAAAAACAACCCTTAAAATGGAGAGTGGCACAGCATCATCCCTAAGCTTTCTTTGGCAGCTTCCCCTAAAACTCCTGCCAAGGAGAATGAAGGGAGGCATGGTGGAAAGATCCTAAGGAACTCACTCCAAAAGCAGTTCTGCTCAGAGCTTTGCCATCTGCCGGCTCCAGAATGGTGGAGTAACTGGGATCCACTCTACAGAAAGTACATGTCTTGGATCCCAGTCTGGTCTGTAGCATGGCTCCACTTATATTCCAGGATATACAGTTAGATTGTAACTTTTGAAGAACTCACTGTTTGGGTGTAAGAATCTTCACCCAAGAAAAATGTGTGTGTGTGTGTGTGTGTGTGAGTGTATGTTCATTTCTGCAAATGCTCACACATTGCATGGGAAGTAGAAGTAGGGTTGGGGGTAGGATGTGTTGCTTTCTGGGCTGGGGATTATTAACCCCTGCTTTTGGCAAGGGCCTGTGTCTGTGGAAAAGAGAGGGAGACCTGTGGTCTTACAGCTTTTTTGTTCCTCTCAACTAGGGAAGATCCCAGTGGGTAGCACTTAGGGAAGCTTCTGATTTCATTGCTTTTGGCAGGGAAGGCTTTCATATTCTTCTGTTCCTTTCTTACATTTGCTTGATTGGCAATAGAATAATTTCCCTGCTGGGAGCCCTGAGCGACTTCAGGACTTAAAGTCCACAGTGGATTTGCTGACCAGCATTACTTTCTTCAGAATGAAGGTAAGAGATGAACTGGGCTGGGCAGTGCTAGGCTGGGGACCTGGCCACAGGGACATGGAGAATAAGAATCACTGGGCATAGTCAAAGGCTATAGGATTTATCACCTTTAAGCCCACATTTCCATGTATCTGTTCCTGAGTTACTTTTAAGAAGACCATGGGTCAAGGAGGTTGGGCTAGGCAGTTCTCCCCATCAGCTGTCCTGACAATTTCATCCCAGGGCAAGATCCAGGGACCTACAGAGGGATGAAGGAATCTGGAATAATGTGGGGGCAGTTCTAGGAGGAGAGACCCCCTGGACCCATATTGTTTTTTATTAATTGGCAGGTGCAAGAACTGCAGAGCCCTCCAAGAGCCAGCCAGGTGGTAAAGGATTGTGTGAAAGCCTGTTTGAATTCAACATATGAGTATATCTTCAACAACTGCCATGACTTGTACAGCCGCCAGTACCAGCTGGTAAGAGGTTCGGGATCAGGTGGGGCCAACTGTCAGTCATTCTTGGAGCCTCAGCTTCCCTTTGCTGTGGTCATGGTGGAAGGGAGCTCAGGATAAAGTCCTTGATGTTCTAGAGAGTGAGTGAATTGTGGAGTGGGGACCATCTAGATCACGTGAGACATTTGTGGATGGACAGGAATCACTGGACAAGATGTGACATAACTGAGTTGAACAGAAGTGGCAACAATAAGTTTTACTTTGGTATTGAAGAAAAGTGACCTACATTTGAGCACAGTTCAGGGGGTGAGTAGGTGAATTCTTAGTCCTTCCCAGAGTCTTTGGTTTCCCCCAAGGTTAATTTTATTCTGACTCATGTGAACCCCTCTATGTTCCAGGCTCCCTTCCCCTGAGATCTAAGCTACTAGCTTGTGGATGTTTAACTTTTCCCTCTGACCACTTTTCTCTGCACTGCATGGTCTTCTGAGACATACTCATTAGCTGACTATCAAGGCTAACCCTGTCTTTCTGGGAGGCTGAGCTACTTCATCTGGTTTAGGCTGGCATCTTAACTCAGTACCTGGTGACTTTGTATGTTTTTCTAAATCCTTCCAGTGGTATCCTTTTTTGTCTTATTTCAAAGCCAGGACTTCCTTCTGGGTCTAATTACTCAGTTACAGTTGATATTTTAGGAATGTCTTGCTGAGCACACATTTGTAGAGTAGATTCCCTTCAGTCCAACAAATATGTGTTGAATGTTTGTTCTAGGCCAGCTCTGAGGAAGCATAGTGCTCCTTCAGTTAGTTCACAGTCACATAAGCATATGTATAACTCCAACCAAAGTCTGTTAGAAGGGACTTGAAAGAGAGATAAATTTGAAGGAGGAAGAAGTCACTCTTGATGAGATATTGGGAAAAGCTACATAAAACAAGGGTATTTGAGATAGACCTTGAAAGGCAGTAGGCTTTGGATAGCAAATGATGGGAGGACAACCTAAATCTCTGGGACATTTACCCTTTGGTGAAGACATCCAATTTGTAATTCTTCCCAGGAGCGCCTTAGTAAAGACTAAAATCTTGTTCATACTCCCCCTTTGCATTGTCAAATTTGCTTTTTGTTCAGGTACTATCTTTACAACTTCCTCCTTTATTTGTTTTTGGCTGCATTGGGTCTTCGTTGTGGTGTGCGGGCTTCTCATTGTGATGGCTTCTCTTGTTGCGGAGCATGGGCTCTAGGCGCGCGGGCTTCAGTAGTTGTGGCTCAGGCTCAGTAGTTGTGGCTCACGGGCTCTAGAGCACAGGCTCAGTAGTTGTGGCACACGGGCTTTGTTGCTCCGTGGCATGTGGGATCTTACCAGACCAGGGCTCGAACCTGTGTTCTCTGCATTGGCAGGTGGCTTCTTAACCACTGCGTTACCAGGCAAGTCCCACAACTTTCTTCTTTTTAGGTCTGTAAAACCTCCCACTGGTTCTGAAGTCCATGGGAGGTTTTCCTGGGGTCTTTGTTTAGCTTGCCACACTTGAGGCTCTGTCATCCATCTGTGGATTCTCTCTGGTAGGGGAAAGACACTGTTCTCAGCTTTTATCTTTCAAGTATGCAGTGGTCTGTCTGAATATTTGGTCTCTATTCCCTAGCATGAGATGAACCTAGACTTTGAAAGAGACCTTACAAACCATTCAGGGACTTTCTTTAGCCTTTGTATTTTGCTAACTGTTTTTTACTTTCTCTCACTCTCATTTTCTCATTATTCATTATTTGTACTGAAGTAAACCCTTGGTATCTTTTATTTCCCTCTACTGACCTTCAGTCATTGGCTCATTCATCTATCCATTCTTTTAACAGGTCGAGCACTAGGGATGTAAAGATGATTAAGACACATTTCTTCTTTGGGGGAGCTCATTGTTTGGTGAAGGTGGGGGCAAATTACTACATTTATTGGTTTTTGTTATTTTATTTTTACTATATTTTATTGTAGTTGTAGTTGTTTGTTACATCTATATGAGAGGTTCACAGAGGGTGCTCTGGGAGCCCAGAAAGAGGCATCTAACCAGACCAGGGGTGTCAGGGAATACTTCTCAGAAAAGGTAGAGCTCAACATAAATTTTGAGCAATGAGTATGAATTAGCTAAAGAAAGGGGCTGGGGAGGAGGGGGATACCATATAGAGCAAACGGAATGTTTGGAGACACAGAATTGTAAATGAGTTTATTAATTCGAAGGAGTATAAGCAATTTAATTATGCCAGTTACAGTGTCAGGCTTTAGAGTTCAGCTGTCTGGGGTCAAATCTTGGTTCTGCTGTTTATAGCTACATGACCTTGGTCAAGTCATGGAACCTCACTGCCCTTCAGTCTCCTCATCTGTAAAATGAAGGTGATAATAATTTCTACCCAATGGAGTTGTTATGAGGATTAAATGAGATAATTCATGCAGAGTTCTTAGCAGAGTCCCTGGCATATAGTAAGCACCAAATAATTGGTGGTAGTGGTGTGGTGATGGCTGCAACAGAAGGGAGTGATTAGGTATGAGGTTGAGAGAGAGGCTGTATTCGGAAGGACCTTTATTTCAAGCTATGGAGCTGGACCTTTTTTGAAGGGTGGACGAGTGACACTATGAGATTCCTTCCAGAAAGATCACTGACAACTGAGTGGTAGAAGGATTGGATTGACGATCAAAGACCAGTTAGGAGATCCTTGAATGATAAGAGCCTGAGCCAAGTAAAAGGAAAAGATGTATTTCAGTGATATTAAGGAGGCAGAATCAACCAAATGTGGATTCTGTCCTGGTTTCTAGTAATTTCCTGGTAATGCAGGTTTATTAAGGACTGTGGAAATTTGTGATGATAGATGGCATCCTACATAAAAGCCCTATTCCTGTGCTCCTGGGCAATTCCAATTTTGCTCTTATCTCAGTGGGAAATAATGTCCATTCCAGTATTTCAGTGGTGACCTTTACTTGTCCTATCTGGGATTTGCCATCCACCATTGTATTCCTTTGTTTCTTCCCAGCCAAGGCCTTTTCTTTCTTTTTTCCCAGCTTTATTGAGATATAATTGTCATATAATATTGTGTAAGTTTAAGGCATACAATGTGTTGATTTGATACACGTGTATATTGTGAAACATCTACCACAGTAAGGTTAGTTAACACATCCTTCACTCACATAAATACCATTTTGTTTCTGTTATGGTAAGAACATTAAAGCTTTATTCTCATAGCATCTTTCAAGTATACAGTACAGTATGTATTGTTATCTATAGTCATCGTGCTGTACCTGTGATTCCTGGAACTTAATTCATCTTGTAATTGAAAGTTTGTACCCTTTGACCAACATCTCCCCATTTCCTCCACCCCCTCAGCCTCTGGCAACAACCTTCTCCTCTCTGTTTCTATGAGTCTGATGTTTTCAGATTCCACATATAAGTGAGATCATATAGTATATGTCTTTCGCTGTCTGACTTATTTCACTTAGCATAATGCCCTTCAGGTTCATCCGTGTTGTCACAAATGGCGGGATTTCCTTCTTTTTTATGACTGAATAATATTTCACTGTATCTATGTGCCACATTTTCTTTACCCATTCCTCTATCAGCGAACACTTAGGTCATTTACATGTCTTGGCTATTGTGAATAATGCAGCAATGAACATGGGAGTACAGGCATCTCTTCAGGATAGTGGTTTCATTTCCTTTGGATATATACCTAGACGTGGGATTGCTCGATCATATGGTAGTGGTATTTTTAAGTTTTTGAGGAACCTCCATAGTGTTCTTGGTAGTAGCTATACCAACTTATATTCTCACCAACAGTGCACCAGGGATCCCTTTTCTCTACGTCCTCGCCAGCATTTATCTCTTCTTTTTTTAAAAAATAAATTTATTTATTTATTTATTTATCCTTGGCTGTGTTGGGTCTTCGTTGCTGCCCGCGGGCTTTCTCTAGTTGCAGCAAGTGGGGGCTGCTCTTCGTTGTGGTGCGTGGGCTTCTCATTGCAGTGGCTTCTCCTGTTGTGGAGCATGGCCTCTAGGCGCGCAGGCTTCAGTAGTTGTGTCATGAGGGATCAGTAGTTGTGGCTCATGAGCTCTAGAGTGCAGGCTCAGTAGTTGTGGCACACGGGCTTAGTTGCTTCATGGCACATTGGATCTTCCTGGACCAGGGCTGAAATCCATGTCCCCTGCATTGGCAGGAGGATTCTTAACCACTGTGCCACCAGAGAAGTCCCTCTCTTCTCTTTTTGATAATAGCTATTCTAACAGGTATGTTATCTCATTGGGGTATTGATTTGCATTTCCCTGATGATTGGTGATGTTAAACATCTCTCCATATACTTGTTGGGCATTTGTATATTTCCTTTGGATAAATGTCTAAGTCCTCTGCCCATTTTTTAATCAGATTTTTTTTTTGCTATTGAGTTGTATGAGTTCCTTATATATTAATATTTTGGAAATTAACCCCTTTTCAGATACATGGTTTACAAATATTTTCCACCATTCTGTAGGTAGTCTTTTTATTTTGTTGATTGTTTCTTTTGCTGTGTAGAAACCTTTTAGTTTGATGTAGTCCGACTTACTGATTTTTGCTTTTGTTGTCATATCCAAAAAATCATTGCCAAGACCAATATCAATGAGCTTTTTCCCTATGTTTTTTTCTAGGAGTTTTATGGTTTCAGGTCTTACATTTAAGTCCTTAATCCATTTTGAGTTAATTTTTGTGGGTGGTTTGAGATAGGGGTCCAATTTCATTCTTTTCCCTGTGAATATCCAGTTTTCCCATTACCATTTATTGAAGAGACTATCCTTTCCCCATTGAGTATTCTTGGCTCTCCATGGTCTTTTCTTTTCCAGCTAAGCAAATAACTTTCTAGATGCAATTCTTCCCCCTAATAACATTCAGGGAAGTTAAGGGAAGTTTTGCTTCACTGAAGGCTGGGCCAACCTGCATGCTAGGTCTGTTACGTAGCTCCTGCAGAACTTGAAGGAGCTTTTCAGAGTTGAGATGTACATGTGTGTGGTGGGGCAGGGGGTGATATTAGAGGAGGGCCATCACTAGAAGAGAAGGACTTCCAGTGGGGGTCACATGGAACTAGACCTACTTAGACTGGAAGGGCTGCGTACTTCAGCCAAGAAGTCACTATATCCATGGGTACTGGGAGAAGGAGGAAGGGGTACAGGCATCTTTATGCCTGACCGAACTTGTCAGAACAGTGCCCTGGAGCTGGGGAGAGAAGTTCTCAAGGACAGACTCTTCATGTCCAAGGACCTCCCAGTGGTCACCCCTCTGCTAGAACAGGTGTGGTCTTGTGGAAGACAGGCTGTAGGAGAGGAAGGGTCCCTGATTCTCAAGGAAGGGGCATGGAGTGGGGAAGAGAGAGAGGAAGACTCTCCATGTTCTACTCTGACTCTCACTGTCTATCACCATCTCCTTGGGAACAAGAATCAGGAGCTACCTCCAGAGGAACAAGGGCCCAGCATTAGGAACCTGGATTTCTGGCCCAAACTCATCACGCTTGTTGTGTCAATCATAGAGGAAGATAAGAATTCCTACACACTCGTTTTGAACCAGTAAGTATCACCTCACTTGGCCCTATCTGTTTAGTGGTTTGTTTGTCCATCTGTCTAACAGCCTCTTTCTTTCCTATCTCTATGTGTTTGCAGTGCCACCTCTTCCTCCTGTTCGTCCATCTGTCCCTCTGTCCCTTGTATCTGTCTGGGTAACTGTTTCTGGAGACAGGTGTGGAAACATAATGGGGGGCCCTGCCCAGACTGAGCCAGCCTCCCTTGAGTGAGAGACCTCTGGGAATGGCTGCCATAGGAGTCCCAGGGGATCCAGAGAGCATGTGTGTATGTGTCTGTCTGCTATGAATAAAGTGGGCCTTCTTATACCCACCTCCTTGCCCTTTCTCCTCCTGCTTATTTAGCCTGGGCCTGTCTTCCAACCTCAACACTTCTCCTCTTGGCCACAATTCCCTGCCTTCTAGGCATCATCTCCCCTAGGGCCACCTTGCCTGAGGGGATCCTCTGCCCCCACTTGTCCTACCCCTGGCCCCTGGGTCCCTTTTCTGCAGTTTGAGCCTAGTAGCCCTGTTTCCTAGGCTTCTCCTCTCTTCGATCTGACCTCCAAGAATTAGGCATGTTAGCCTTGGAAGCAATCAAATCAAATGGCTCTTGCCATGTTCTCTGACTGTGGCTTCTTCCATCATCCAGGTTTCCTCAGGAGTTGAATGTGGGAAAAGTCAGCGCAGAAGTGATGTGGCAACTCTTTGCCCAAGACATGAAATATGCACTGGAGGGTAAGGGTGTGCCCAAGGCAGTGGGCTGCAGACCCCTAGTCCAAGCACCTTGTTTGCTGTCCCTTTCTTCTCCCAGACAACTACAAGTTCTGGGTGAATAATACAGTGAGAAACTAGAGTGATTTTAGGCATGGTGGGTGATAGGCCTCAGGAGGCGCTGGGTAGGCAAAGCTTCAGCCAAAGGAATAATGGAAATTGCTGTGTGGATGTAGGTTCCTCCTTCCAGCTTTAGAGCAAGTGCCTATTTAAAAATTTCCCAGCCCAGAGATCAACCCTTCCCATGCTGGGTGTTCTCAAGTGGCCCGCTCATTAGAGAATGGTCTTATGAAACTTATCTTTACAGTTTTACAGAATCTCAGAACCTTAAATACATAGATAGGTAAGGATTATTTTCTCATGCTGTAGACTGCCTGGCCTGACTTTCCTTGAAAGTTTTTCTGGATTGGTGTGACAAAGCCAGAAAGATACTTCTTCCCTCACTTCTCCTATAGAACAGGGTCACAGACCAATTATTACTCATCTTGTTCATTCAGCTTATTCTTTTATTCATTTCCCACTTTGGTCCACAAAGATATCACTCCCTACCTGTATCAGACCTTCCCATTTATACCCATCTGTGCTCACTTATTTAGCTGCATTTCCTGTCTGTTTATATATGTTAAAACATGTATATGTTTATATATAAATAAACATATATATGTTTAAAACAAACACAAAAGGTTTGAACTGCTTCGAGAGAAAGAACTAATGTTGACCTGGTTTCAAATCTCAGTTTAACCACCTACTCAACAGTGTGTTCTTAGACTGAGCTACTTAACTTTTGTGAGCTCCCATTTTCTCATCTATAAAATGGGAGTGATGATAGCATCTATTTCATTGAGCTAATGAAGTAACTGAGGTGTATGTGACATACTTAGCATACTGCCTGGCATTTATTAAAGGCTGATGAGCAGAGATGCAATGTTAACAAAGTAGTATTTTTATAAGATTTTACCTCAATGGAAAACGGGGGCAGATGGAACAGGGAGAGACTGGAAGCAGAGTGCAGATAGTGTAATCATTTAGGGCTGAGCGGATGGGGCTGGGATTAGAGCAGAGGAATTAGAGGAAGAATGCGATTTGATAGACATTGGAAGGAAGTTGTAACAGGGCTTAGTGATTGTCAGAATGGTGGAGGGCAAGAGAAAGGGAGACCTGTTTAATAAAAGGATAGTGTTGACTCCAACTGTGAAAACGCTATCATTCACCCAGTATTTTTAAAGTCAACTTTATTGAGGTGTAATATACATACAATAAAATAAAAACACTTTAAGAGTACAATTTGATGAGTTGTGACAAATAAGTACACCTGTGTAACTACTGTCCCAATTAAAATATAAACAGAAAGTTTCTTCCTGCCCCTTTGCAGTAAATCCCCACCCCATTCACCAGGCGTATTGAGTATTTTCTTTGGGCCACGCACTGTGCTAGTTGAGATGAATGAGGCATAGCCCCAGCCCTTGAGAAGCTCCCAGATCAGTCAAGACAACAGACCTATAAACTGGCAGTTACAATTCAAAGTTTTTAAGTGCTACTAAAGGAATAAGCATAGGGTGCTGAGAGGAGACCCATGTAACCTGGACCTGGGAGGACTACCTGGGAAGGCTTTCTGGAGGAGGTGATGTACAAACTGACACCTGAAGGATGATAAAACTTAGCTGGTGGGGAGGGAGAGCATTAGTGACAGGGAAGGGAGAGACAGGCATTTTAGGCAGAGGATACAGTATGTTCAGAGACCTGGGGTCTAGACAGAGCTGGCATGCTTGGGGAACTGTAAGCAGTAGTTCAGTGTGACTAGCACTTTAGAGTGTAGGGGAAGAGAGGAGAGGTGAAGATAGAGAAGTAGGACAGAGCTAGATCATACAGGAGGTTTCAAGCCATGTTTAGGATTTTGGACTCTACCCTGAGGCAGTCGAGAGGCATTGAACAACAATCCCATGTTAAGAAAGGGATTAACATAACTAGATTTTTAATATAGAAAGGCCACTCACTCTGGCTACAGTATGGAGAATAGGTTGGAGGAGGAAAGACCAGTTTGGAGACTATTGTGGTAATGCATGTTAGCGAAGGTGGTAATGAGACCTAGACAGGTAAAAGTGTAACTAGAAAGAAATGGATAAATTCCGGAGGAGTTTTGGAGATGAAATCAACAGCGATTAGTGAGTTAGTTGGATGTGAATAAAGAGGAAGAAGGAAGACTGGAGGATGCTGCTCAGCATTGAACGAGAGGGTAAGATTAGTGTGTATACTCCAGCTTCAGCTGGAGATGTTAAAATGGCAAAAGGTGGTGACTGGAGTTAAACCCAGGCAAAGTGAAACGTTCCATCAAATCCTCGTATAGACATTACCAGAACCAGGGAGATATCAGCAAGCTGGAAAGTTGACATCATGAGGTTGAAAGAACTCTCCAAGGATGAAAGATGAATGGAGGGAGGATTGTGGCAGTCACGGGCAGGAGAAGGTTTAGATACCCTTCTGCCCCTTTTGACAGGTTAACCAAGCCCTGATCACCACACCCCACCGTCAGCAACTTCAAGCGACTACTGGAGCATGACTCCATGGGAGTCTTACTATTGTTAGAACAGTTTAAAGTGTGCCCAGTGTTTTTGTACCACAGAAGTTAATTAGAAATTGGGGTTTTGGACCAGAGTACAGATGATGGATTGACAGAGAAAGTGAGAATTCTCTGTAAATACAGTAACTTGAAGGTCCCTAGAAGAAAGCAGTTAGGGAGCTCTGGAGTGATGGGGCAGCATTGCTTCCCTTCTAGTGGGTTGTTGAACAGAAAGGAGGAAGGGCCCTCCTGCTGGTACCTTTTCACGTTTCTAGGTTCTTGGCCTGGTTTAAGGACAGCAGGGTGGGAGAGAAGGGGCAAGCCCTGAGAGAGTCTCTCTGATGTCCCTGATTTTTTCACTTTCTTTATTGCTCATTGGTGTCTCTGCTCTGTCACAAGCATCCGCTGTCATTCGTATACGAAAAGTCCTCTTTCTGGGTGGTAAGAACTTTTGGTTGTTGTCCCTTCACCTCTAGTCTTATTGCTGTTTCCTCTTCTCTTGCTCACTGCTTCATAGAAGAGACTGCAAATGCAACTTTGGGTTGAGATGGTGCTGCCTACAATGCCAGGAGATGAAATTCCTGGAACAAGGGAGCCTTTTGAGGCTGAATCCCGGGCTCCCGTTTCCTCCTTGAGTGTCTGCTGTACTAATTCACAAGGGCCGGCTGCCCCAGACTGGCTCTTCTGCCTTGACATGGAGGAGCGTCACCCATGGCAACTCTGAGTTGAGCAGTAGAGTTCCCAAGGACAATGATCTTCCCTTCTCTGTTGCTCAGTACTCTCCCCAGTTTGCTTGCTTTCACCATTGTTATATGTAAGCACACAGTTGGCTTTTATTGTTCAAACTAATGCTTCATCTCTAAAGGGGGTAAATGAAGAAAGCCTGTGGGTGTGGCCAGTGCCAGACTCTCTGGGCAAGCTGTGGGTGATCTTTATCCTAGACTTCCCAGAAGGCTCTGCAGATTCAGCTATATAACCTTTCAAGTCCATAAGCATCCCATTTTCTGTAGCAGGATGGCCCTTTCATCTGGCTGTGTTTCCAAACTGACTTGTTTGCATACTTCTTTGAGAGTTCATTTTTCAGTGTCCCAGCTCTGCTCTGGGACCCTTCAGTTTACTTCAAGATTCTGTTACACCATGGCTGCTCAACTGCTCGTTCTGTCAGCTCAGGCCCATTTTGGTTTTCCCTGTGTCTGTGTGGTTGTCAGTGACCCATTTATGTCATATACGACTGCTCATCTCATTTAAATCCATCTGAGGAAATGGCTCAGGTACCAGGATTAGAAAAGCCCTGGAAAACCGTCATGTCTCTCCAGTCCTGGGCAGTTTCCCCACTAATCAGCCTTAGCACCTACATCCTTTTCTCCTCTTCTTCACCAGAGGCCAGTACCTCACTTGCACTTCCAAAAGCCAGCACAGGAAGACTGTGGGCCTTATTTGGGTGTCTGGCTTAGTCTCTAAAGAAAGATTTGGGCCAGGCTTTTAGCAGAGTACCCACTGTTAGAGGGAGGTGGCTGTGAGGAGGTGCTTGGGAGTCACGCTTGTTCTCAGACATTTGATAGAGCCACCTGACTAGATCTGCCGCCTTGGGAAAGCTCAGGAACCATGGCCTCTACTGCCAGGACCTGACCCAGCCTTCCTCCCTACCACTAGAGCATGAGAAAGACCGGCTGTGTAAGAGTGCTGACTACATGAACCTGCACTTCAAGGTGAAGTGGCTCCACAATGAATACATGCGGGATCTGCCTGCCCTCCAGGGGCAGGTGCCTGAGTACCCAGCGTGAGTCATCATGTGGGGGCTGCAGAGGGAAGAGGGGCGCTTAGGGGTTGGACAAGGCCAGTATCCTTACAGTCAGGTACATGGTATATGCCAACCACTAGCTCCAACCCCCAATTTTCCTGCCTGGCTGCAGGTGGTTTGAGCAGTTTGTCCTACAGTGGCTGGATGAGAATGAGGATGTGTCCCTGGAATTTCTGCGTGGGGCCTTGGAACGAGATAAGAAGGATGGGGTAAGTCGGGGGCTTGGGCTTCACAGGGGTCAGGCCAGGTCTCCCAGCAATTAGCTATCAGCAGAAGTTCCTGGGCTCAACCAGGATGGCTGTCCCTGCCTTGTGGAGTCCGTAAGGAGGGCTGTCGCGGGCCGCTGAGCCACCCCTGCTGGGCAGAGAGCCCTTTAGAACCTTACAGACTTGGGAAAAGGTAGCAGCTGAAGATGACCCTGTGTGTGGCCTTCCTTAGTTCCAGCAGACATCAGAGCACGCACTCTTTTCCTGCTCTGTGGTGGACGTCTTCACACAGCTCAATCAGAGCTTTGAGATCATCCGGAAGTTGGAATGCCCAGACCCCAACATCCTTGCCCACTACATGAGGAGATTTGCTAAGGTGACCATGACCTTCCCTACCCCTCCCCTCTTACCTCCATCACATCACAGCCTAGCCACAGGCCTGAGCTCAACCCCTCTTTGTGATGGCCTTTGGGTTAAGCCTGGCGTTACCCCCATTCTCCTTTACTTGAGTCCGGGGCAGACAGGTGGGTTTGTTTCAGTGCTGTTCTGGGGCTGAGAGGGAGATTTGTGCCTTACTTTGACATTCCCCTTTGCATACCTGCTGTTACTGTTCTGGGATGAGAAGTACAACCTCAGGTAAGATCCCTGTGGGTAGAGCTAAGGGTTCCCTCTCCTTTCCTTTTCTCCTCTTTTCTCAGACCATCGGGAAGGTGCTGATGGAATATGCAGACATCTTATCAAAGAACTTCCCAGCTTATTGCACAAAGGAGAAAATGGTGAGGGTTAGGCTTTTTGCTTTTGAAGCTCTCCTCAGAGCTAAGGGTGGGGTGATTCTCCTGCCTTGTGATTCCCAGCAGGGCTGTGCTTGAGGTTATGCCACAAAATAATAAGAACCTGATGAGGGGTTCCTTTGTGCCTCCATTTGGTAGTTTATTCTCTACTGAGCTAGGCCTTTGCTTAGTCTTTCTTTCTTTCTTTTTAATACATTCAGAGAGTTATAAAGGGTAATCCCATGAACACCTGGGGCCCCCCACCCAGCTTAAAAGCAGAAACATTTGCTTCTAGTCTTCATTCAAGGAGAGATGTCTGCATTGGTTCCAGATCTCAGGGCTTAGGGAGAGACACATGTAATATGTGTTGTAAATTCCCTGTGGCTTTTGGAGTAATGTGAGAGAGGGAGGGACTCTAGCCTGATGAGTTCTGTGCTGAATGGAGCCAAACTCAACACCTCCCTCTGTCCCCAAAGCCTTGCATCCTGATGAACAACATGCAGCAACTGAGGGTCCAGCTGGAGAAAATGTTTGAGGCCATGGGAGGCAAGGAGGTAAGTCTTAAGGTTTGGGGTTGCTGTACTTTCCCTTTGTTCCTGAGCTCCCTGGCCACAGAACTCCACCCTCTCCTGACTGGGTATAGACCAGGAGTTTAGCTTGGGGTCTGGAGTGGTTTGAGCTGAGAGATTTGAGTAGGCATTGGGGTAGAGGCCCTAGGAGGGAGGAGTGGGGGCACAGGAAGGGAGGAAAGCATAAGAGAACCAGCTTAGCGAAGCCTGCCTCCTGTGGATACAGTTGGACCCTGAAGCTGCAGACAGTCTGAAGGAGCTGCAGGTGAAACTGAATACGGTTCTGGATGAGCTCAGCATGGTGTTTGGAAACAGGTCGGTGGCCCCAGAACACACAGCCCTCAGAGCCAGGTGTGGTGCCTGGCCAGCCCCAGATCCCCTGCCCCACACTCATCCACCCAGCTGCACATATGCGGATCTTCCCCCTCTTCCTGCTGGCTGTCCCTGTTGGAGCTACACCATGAGTATGCTGGAGTGGGACCAAATAGCTGGTGCTGCTTTAGGGACAGTGTGCATTTGGGGCAGGGAGGGCTGCACTGTGGGCACATGTGTAGTTTCCAGGTGCGGATTGATGAGTGTGTTCAACAAATGGCCGACATCCTGGGCCAGGTGCGGGGCCCAGGGAATGCATCCCCCAGCGCCCGGGCCTCAGTGACTCAAGATGCAGATAGTGTGCTCCGGCCCCTCATGGACTTCCTGGATGGCAAGTGAGTACAGCACTGAGGACTGTCCTTTAGGGACGAACAGGGCAGAAGCAGTCACAGAGGAGCCTCTCAGGGAGGGGGAGCTCTCAAGCACTTACCCCATCCTTAACCTGTTGCCTGGTCCTGCAGCCTCACACTTTTTGCCACTGTGTGTGAGAAGACGGTCCTGAAGCGGGTACTGAAGGAGCTCTGGCGGGTGGTAATGAATACAATGGAGAGGATGATTGTTCTGCCCCCACTTACTGACCAGACGGTAAGGACACCTCCCTTCCACTTCGTCCTGCTGTGTCTCCCTAAACCTCCTCCATGCTTCCTGACTGAGTTTGGAGTTCTCTGCTTTTGACTGATTCGCTCTCTGCCCAGGGCACCCAGTTGATCTTCACTGCTGCCAAGGAGCTGAGCCACCTTTCCAAACTCAAGGTACTCTGGATGTGTGGGGTCCTTCTGAGGCTGGGGGTTGCCTGGAAGGAAGGAAATTTGAGCTTTGAAGACTGAAGCAGAGGGGAAGGAGAGGAACATGTAGCTGTGGCTGACAGGTGGGGGAAAGACTTTGATGACAGCCATAAGCTGTCCTGATGCTGTTGCTTTCTCTGGGGTTCTAGGACCACATGGCGCGAGAGGAAACCCGGAGTCTCACTCCAAAGCAGTGTGCTGTCCTTGACCTCGCCCTGGACACCATCAAGGTGGAGACCTCCCCCTCCTCTAGACAATCTTACTACCACTTGGTCCTGGCATTCCATTCTGCCAGATTAGGTGTCCCTCGGGCTCTTGCCACCCCACATCCAGAAGAGAGTGATTTTTGTGTCCATATCTTTCTCTGCTATTCCATATTCCTGCTGGGGACCAACCAAAAAGGTACCTCCTGTGTGGTCTCGGGTGAATCGCCACAGACCTAGAACATTATTCTTGGGTTCTGCGGACAGTTTAGTTCACTTTGTACCTCATTGTCATTCATGAATATTTTCCACTGGGAATTAATCTTCCAGATCCTAATACCCGACATCTGGCTGACCTCTTCACTTATGTTTAAAATCATTTGGGTTTTCGAAGGATTTTTTTTCCTATTACACATTCATTTATTCCACCAGGCAACATGTGTTCTGGGCACTATACACTATGAAGGATGCAGAGAGAATCAGATATAGTTCCTAGCATCAAGATACTTATAACCTGGTAAAGTGACAAATAAGGCAGGTACGTGTGGGCTGTGATTTAGGGCACTTCAGAGAGGTATGCCATAGGTATAAACTGCTCTAAGCGTTCCCAGGGGTAAAGCAACACTTCTGACTACTCTCTTCCTGAAATGCTTCTGTCACATATCTTTGTCCAGATAGAGTCATCCTTCAAGAATCACATCCAGAAACGTGGCCATGCCTTACCACTCCTGCCAGATATTCAAATAATACTCTTCACCTGAGAGACTATGACTCTGGCTCTGTGTGGTATTCCTGATATTGCTGTTTATTGAATGGCTCACCATCCTCTTCCAGCATCTTCGCTGAGCCTCTGCTCAAATGTCATTTCTCTGAGTAACACTGTTGGAGAGCTGCCTCTCTGTAAGGGGATGAGGCAGTAGCAGTTAGCAGTTATTCTTGTCTTTCAGCAATACTTTCATGCAGGAGGCAATGGGCTGAAGAAAACCTTCCTGGAGAAGAGCCCAGATCTGCAGTCCCTACGCTATGCCCTGTCTCTGTACACACAGACCACAGACACGCTCATCAAGACCTTTGTGCGCTCACAGATTGCCCAGGGTAAGGCCTAAGGGCTTTGGGTCCCCACCTCCCCTCCCTGATACATCTCTGTCCCTAGGGAGTCAGTATCCTGTAGCCCTCAGGGAGGATCCAAGTACTTCTCCAGAAAGCCCTTCAAACCCAGACACCAGGATTTCTTGCTGGATCCCAGTACTTACCCCCAACCCACACTCAAACCAGACAGGAGAGTCACAGAGACCTGGGAAATGTGCCTGAGCTTTCTTTTCCCAGACATCATCTGGCCAGTGCATGTGTGTTGAGCTCAAGGAGTATACCTGTTTGGTAGGAAAAATCTGTGAGGAAGCCTTGAGAATGAGTGGTTGAGACACTCATGAAGATTCATAGCTTTGGGAGCCTAAGTTGGAAGCTGTCCAGGGGAGAGAAAGCAAAAGACTTTCCAGATTCTCCAGTGTGGGTGAGGAGAAGACTAAGAGAGGCAAACCACGGGAGCAGTTGAAGGGAGGGTGCGGATCATGGGGCTCTGCAGAGCTGAGACTCCGGCCTCATGGGTGATGCTAGTGCACAGGGAACCCAGGCAGCTGATTTTCTCCCAGTGACTTCCAGTTCTCAGAACCCCTCCTTGCCTCCAGGCAGGCCCATTCATAACAAAACACATCTGCCTAGACATGGCTCAGACTGAAATTCTGACCCTCACCCTGGGAAGGTCCTCCTGGAAAGGACCTTCAAGGCGCAGTTCTTGTTGCTCCTTCCAGGGAAGCCTGGAGGAGTGAACCTGGTGGAGGCGGGAGTGGGAAGGCTTAGGCCTTACTGAGCTGTGGATCTGGAGCACAGAGCTGACGCAGAGGGGAAGAGGGATCTAAGCAGTTAGAATAGAGTTGATGAAAGGTGAAAAATACAAGGGACCTGCAGTACTGCTCCGTTTTCCACGTATGTTCGTATTTCAAGTCCAGAGTGAGAAGGCAGAGCAAAAGAAGTTATGAGCCTTGCTCAAGGAGACGGGAATCTTTCACAGAGCTGAGTACATGTAAAGGCCTGTAACATCAGGGAGGATAGGAGTTAATCCAAAAGGCCTTTTGGAAACATTGAGCTTTAAGCTAGATATAAAGATGAGGAGACGCTCGAATGGGCACACATGAAGTAACAGCAGGCAGGGGTGGTGACTGCAGGGAGGATGCAACTATGAGTGTACGTTTTCTACCCACTGCTTTATCATTTAAGGGCCTAGGAAATTAGAGCCTACAACTTTCTCTTTTGTGCCCTGTGGGTCTCAGAAACCTTCTCTCTGTATGTTCTACTGCTTCTGTCCATGATTTGGTTGATCTTCAAACTGTTAAGTATAATTTGGAGCATTCGAGCATTGACCCCAGTTCTTTGACCTCTCTCTCCACCCTACCCCATCTCCGTGCTCCCTCAGAATATATGTAGAGCTGCTCTGAATGGCTGTTAACTCCTTAGACCTCTAACTGATTCTTCTTTCTCTGTCCTACTGCTGCTACCTCTTGACTTGCCTGTCCTCACTCAGTGCATGATGGGAAAGGTATTAGGTTTACTGCTAATGAGGACATTCAGCCGGAAAAGGGTACGTTATATACCATGCAGATGTGAATCTAATATGGGCTAACACTGTCACCTGTGAACTAGAATGAGCTGCTTATGTTGGGGCTGGGGGAACCAGGTATCAGAGTTCAGAGGCTCTATTCCAAGTTTCAGAGATGGGCAGTGTATTCATACAGTCTGAGACAGGGTTAACAATAGCTGTCCTCAGAATTCCCCCACCCCTCCGTCTAAGGACAAAGAAGTTTTATCTGGGGTGTAGGGTACTGGTGTTTTCCCAAAATAGAGTGAGGCTTCTGCAGAGGGGAGGCTGAAAATTGGCCAGAGGGACTGGGGAGCTGTTTGCAGAGAGGTCCAGGTTTGAGTAGGAAAAAGTCATTCTGTGCAGGGCAGCCTCCCAAGAAGGGGCCTCCACAGGTGGGAAGGTGCTGCTTTTGGCTAGATGGGACCCGCATTGTTCTGCTGAGACACCATGGGGTGGACATAATTCTCAGACAAAAATACAGGGTGGCAGCACTGTCCTTTCCCAGCAACTTTCAATGAAAAATTCTGCAGGCTGGGAGAGGTTTGGGGAATCTGAGAGATTCCAGGTGCAGTTCTGGAAGAGGTTTCACCTAAGATGTTGTCACCCTGATTTGTATTTTAATACATAGTCTTAGTCTTTATCCCCGTTCTTTTCCTTCTCCCATTACTTACTTCCCCATAGCTTCTGTGGGTGATTACTTCTTGCTTTAGGATGTAGGATAGTAGCCTCCCAACTCCACGGTTTTACCTGGAATAATTAGGTCTAAAGTCTTAAAGTTCTCCAGTGGGGGAATCATCTGTCCATCTGTCCCTCAGGGTCCGGTGTGGATGATCCTGTGGGAGAAGTCTCTATTCAGGTGGACTTGTTTACACATCCTGGAACTGGGGAGCACAAGGTCACAGTGAAAGGTGAGTGGCATGGGCTTACAGACCCCAGACCTTTTCTTGCCCAGTGGCCTCATCAGTCAAAGGCAGGGACTGCTTATCCCAGCCTTTCAGCTTAGCCCTCCTCCAAGGGGAATGCCACCCGGGGCTCAAGAACTGGGAATGCTTGATGGGATCTCTCACAGGTTTCCCATGTTTGTGCAGTGGTGGCTGCCAATGACCTCAAGTGGCAGACAGCCGGTATGTTCCGGCCCTTTGTGGAAGTAACCATGGTTGGCCCTCACCAAAGTGATAAGAAGAGGAAGTTCACAACCAAGTCAAAAAGCAACAACTGGGCCCCCAAGTACAATGAGACATTTCACTTGTAAGTTATGGGATGGGGGCCTGAAGGACTCTGGGATGGGGTTGATCTGGGGGGTAAGAATTGAGAGGGGAAAGAAGGGATGGGCTGGATGGCAGCTGGGGTGAATTCATTTGAGGATGCCCTCAGCTCTGGTCTCCCACCTTCCATCTACCCTGTGCTCACAGCCTCCTGGGAAATGAAGAGGGGCCAGAAGCCTATGAGTTGCAAATATGTGTGAAGGATTACTGCTTTGCCCGGGAGGATCGTGTTCTGGGGCTGGCTGTGATGCCTCTGAGGGACGTGGCAGCCAAGGGCAGCTGTGCCTGTTGGTGCCCCTTGGGCCGGAAGATCCACATGGATGAGACAGGCATGACCATTCTCCGGATTCTGTCTCAGAGGAGCAATGACGAAGTGGCCCGAGAGTTTGTGAAGCTCAAATCGGAGTCTCGTTCCGTGGAGGAGGGGAGCTGAGCACCTAGGCTCCTGTGCCAACCAGATGGCACCAGTTCCACAAGTCAGGGCTAGTGGGAGTTACTGTGTTTCTTAGGGTCCTCGTAGTCAAGAGGTTGACTCATTCCGTTAAGGACGTTGAAGGAAAAGTTTGGGGTGATGCGAGTATGGCTTTGCACAGAAAGGGTCATGAGTCCCTGACCAGCAGGTTTGTGATGCTGGGAGCTGGGCTGTGGGGGTTACCAGGCAGGGAGATTTTCCACAGACGGGCAGACGTTTCTGAGAGTGTCAGCCATTCTTGGCAGAGGTTCTTCCACTCCCACAACCCTTCTCTACCCCTCTCCATACCACACCTTATCCAGTTAAATCCGTACATACCAATCACTAGAAGAACAAGTTTAGAGGGCCTGGAGCTTGTGCCTAATTAGGTAAGTAATCATTTGAGTCTACAGGTATTGCTGAGCCCTGTGGTCTGGATTGGAGTATGGCCAGGGCAGGAGCACACAGAATAGAATTCAGCCTGTCCCTTGAGCAGAATCTACTGGTGTAGAGTAGCTCAAGTGAGTACAAGGCATTGAAACTGAACCAGAAACCTTTCAGAAATGAGCTCTGCTAATCCCTTGCCCAGATTATCTGTCATGAGTAGAACCAGGTTCCCATGGTGCTTCAGAGCCCTGAGCAGAATTTCTTTGGAACCCAAGCACCAGGGGCCACCTGCCCATGAGTCCCCCTACCTCACTCCTTTAGGAAGAGGAGTGATGCTTCAGGACATGAGAAGCTCTTCTTAAGTGTATGCACCTGAGAGCTAGTTGAAGGATCCAGGAGAGAGGACTGTATTTTCTTCGTGAAAAAGCCCTGAACAAAGCCAAAAGTTGTGGAAATCAATCTAGAAAGAGTCCTCTTCACCTATGGCCACTGCCTTCTGACGGTCCTCCCCCTTGCAGAAAGAATCCAGCCTTTGTCCTCACTCCCCTTCATCTAGGTCAGCTGCAGTTCCCCTCATAGACCTTCAACCCTACAGAAGGAACTTGGACTGTGATCCCTCTGTACCAGCTGGATGAAGGGGGGGGGCTCAACACTCCCTGGGAGGTCAGAGACAAACTTTTTCCAGAGGGTCATGTGGACTTCCCAGGCCCCTTGCTCAGAGAAGGGCCTTCGATAACCTCAGTAGCAGCCTCTTGGACTTCCTGAGGACTCTGCATTGTCCATTGGCTATTACATGAAATAAGAAACTAGGAATCTTTGCTGTTTTAAATTATTGTATGTGCCATTGTTACAAGAGATTATTGGCTAGTCTGTAATAAATTATCTTATAGCAGCCTTTGGGGTCTGATAATTCTGTTAAAGTGTGGAAAGCTGTAGAAATGACTTCCTTATATAATGATAGGTTTTAGACAAGTGGTCCCTTCCTGCTCTCCACCCGCCACCGCCCACCCCCAAGTGGTGGAGCCTCAAACCGCTGGGGGAGAGGGGGCAGATTGCTGAGAAAGGGGACGTGGTTGGAGGCGGGCTTGGGGATGAGGGGCGTGGCCGGAGGCGGGGCTCTACTCTGCCCGGATCGTGTGGCTCCGGGGCACCTGTGCGCAAAGGTGCGTTAAGATGGCGGTCGCTGGAGTCGGTGGCTGCGGAGCGATGGTGAGCAAGAGGCGCCCGAAGGTGGCGCCCGAGGAGAGGGTATCGCCTTTTCCCTCCCAACACTGAAGAGAGACTGTACCCCCATACTATCTCGCATTCCTAGCACTCTGTGTACTTCCCAACAGCTGTCCGTCTTCATACTTTCTTGTAAACTGTTCTCCCAGTACTCCCCATCCCCATACTCGAGTATACGGGTTTCCTAGATGCTCCAGAGAGGACTTACCTGCCCAGATACCTAGCAAAGGGGATCTTTATGCCCCAAATACCTCCCAGAGGGCATCCATTTATCTGGTTACTTCATAAAGCAGATACCCCCAAAACCTCCAGCTAAGGTACATTCCTATTAACTCAGGGAGTTTTGTCCACTTTTCCAGCACTATCCAGATTGTCTGAGAGGGAAGCCATGAATCCTATACCATATTTGACTTGAAAGTGGCACATTTGCTCTCATTCCTCTGTCATATGGAGCAAGAAACCTACTTCATAAGGAAAAGTCAAACTCTGGCTGACTAGCTTACAAAAGGCTTGCAGATTTGAATCAGTAGCTAACTTTTTAAAACCAGATTTTATGTTTTAAAAATGAGTATTTCTAGCTTTTGAGGAAATAATCAGAAGAACTATTAACTCTTAGCTGACATTCCCACAAAGTGACAGGTGGTTGGAGCTGAGAAGCAACTAGCAAATTAGTTTTCTGTAGTTCATCATAGACTCCATTACTCCTTATTTTGTCATTCTGGGCTTTACATTATTTCCCTGGTATGCAGTAGACACTTGAGTTTGAGATCCCTGATATAAGACTTTTGATAATTTTCTGTGCCAATACTTTGAGCTCTTAATGGAAACTGAAATCCATAGAGGTTGGATATATGTTATATATGTTTAGGTTATCTTTGGTTTCTGTGATGCCCTGATTAGGATCAGAGATCATACTAGTAGCTAAAACCCAGGGTGAAATCTGTATTAAAGTGTTTTTTATAAGAGAATTCAATCAAAATATCTGCAGTTAGCTTCCTGGTGCATTTGATCTTGAAGAAATCATGTGCCAACTCCTCTCTGGTGGGATCAGGCCAAGAACAAGGCGTTGTTTCTCTTTGAACAGCTGGTTTTAAAAGGGCCTGGCTCTGGTCTGTACCAGAAGTGATGTCTCAAAAGTGCCGTCTCCTTCACTCCAGAACGCATAGATCATAACCCTCCTCTCTGTGGGAAATAGCAGGCCTTGTAGTATCGAGAGTTGGGGGTATTCTGCAGGCTGTATCTAATCAGAAGTAGAATAGAAGTACCTTTAATAGTGGATTTTTTAAAAAGCAAAATCATTTCTATCAGCATAAGTATATAACTCATATAGTCATTGTGAATATTTGGACTAGCTCCGTGAATGAACCTCGCATATCTCGAAGCAGAATGGCTAAGCTGAAGAAGCAACATGGAGTAGTGAAGATGGTATTGAAGTGGGAGTCAGAAAACATGAACAGTAGTCTCAGCTCTGCTACATACTTCTCAGGGGACCTTGACTTTTAACTTTTCAGAGGCTGTTGCTTGCATCTGTTAAATGGACTGTGAATTCCTGCCATGTTTACTTCAGAGGGGTCAAATGGGCTTATTTAAATGTGAAAACACTTTGAAAACTATACTGTACATGTATAAGGGATTATTGTCATTATTACAAATGATCCTCTGAGCTCTGATAACTTCCAAGGAACTTGTCTTGCTGTGTCCTGGGTTCAAAATCAATAAATATTTGCTGAACACATAATATGTACCAGGTACTCATCTAGGCATGGAGCCTAGCACTGAACAAAACAAAAACCATTGTATGAATTTAAGAGTGGGTTATCAGCATGCTGAGTGCCTACTAAGTACCCAGCACAGCATCACAGCATGGTGAAGTAATAGGGAGAACCTAGATGATGCACTTAAGTCTGCCACTGTACAGCTGTGAGAGAGCCTTTCCGTATGTGAGCCTGAACCTTCCCATCTGTAAAATAAGGTGGTTAGACAAGGTAAACTCTAAGGTTCTTTCGAGCTAAAATATGTTTGTTTGGATATTATAATTGCTAAAGTTCCCTGCCCCTGATGAGCTTATTGCCCTGCCAGGAAGGTCAGACTAACAAAGCTAAACAGTCTTAGAACTACAAGGACAACAGCGTGCTAATGTCACACTAGATTCAGCATAATAACGGTAACAGCAGCGTCGCTCTGTAGGTAATAGAGTATTTAGAGACTTCTTAGAAGGCCATGTAGACATGGAAGTATGGGAAGATTCAGATTAGAGGAGAGGAAGGAGACTTGACTGTAGATACTGGAAATGGAATGAATGTAAGACCAAAGGAGAAGAATAACATGCCATTTATTGTTTTCCTAGTGTATCAGTCAGAGTCCTTGCGGAAAAAGTTTGTGCATTCAAAAGAATTTAATTGAAGAGAGTTTAACCAAAGGATGATTTACAGAGGTATGGTCAGTGTTAACAGAAACTAGAAAGAAATGGTGAAACCCGGAAGTGGTGAGTCAGTAGCACTCCTAGGCCTCAAGGGAAAGAAAGGGAAGTGTTGTTACCAGCGCCCAGTTAGAACTACAATCTGAAAGACAGACTGCCTGACAAGAGCAAGAACTTAGACAAGGCAGCATGGAAGTAGAGAAATAAATGCCCTAACCTTTCTCCTCTTGCCCTCTGGTCTCCAGCTACTACCTTCAAGAAGCCCAGGGGCAAGGTAGTCTGGGTAATGTAGTTCATAGAGATCAGCTTCCCAGAACAGGGCAGAGGGAGTTGGCTGGGAGGAGGCAGAGCAAACAGAATAACCAGCATAAAAGGTATCTAGGGAAGGAAAAGTTACCACTATGGACTCTTTCCAATAAAGTTTTCCCTCTGTTCAAATTCAGAAATCTACTGTAAGACTTAGTCTCCTTAGTTGTGAAATGGCCATAGAGCAATGCCTTTTCCCGGAGTGATTGTGAGGATTCTATGATATGACACATGAAATTGCCTGGCACAGGGCATGATACATGCTGGAGGCTCAGTATATTTTAGTTCCTTCCTTCCTGTACATGCTTAAATGGCTCCTTGGCTGAAATATTTTTCCAGTCATGGTTTCAAAGTGTGGCTGGAACTGAGTGAATGAAGGGGAGAATAGTAGGAGATGAAGTCAGAGCCCATGGTAATGACTTTGGCTTTTAACAGAGTAAGGTAGGAAGTCACTGGAAAGTTGGGTGACTTCTGATATCAGGGTTCCTATTATTCACTAAGGCATCACTTCTTCGTTCAAAAATATTTATTTAGAACATACCACATGCTGGATACTGTTTTAGGTACTGGAGGTGCATTGATATATAGTCCCTACCCTCAAGGATAATGTGGTCTTTAAAGGAGACAGATGACTTCAACTTAAAGTATAAATGTTAAGATACAAGTGAACATAGAAGCTCATAGTAAGGGAGCTCATAGTAAAGACATCATCTTTGGGGCATCTGAAAGGCTTCCTGAGCAAGGTGATGTAAATTGAATCTTAACTGTAGAACTTAGCCAGGTCTAAACAGACGGAAATGAAGTTCTAGGAATTTGGAGTAGTATGTGCACTTGGCACTTGGCTTAAAAAAAAAAAAAAAAGTTGGTGATGAGCTGGGAATTGCAGGTAGCTTATGTCACTGGACATTTGGCTTTGTGTAGGAGGATGTTGAGAGATAAGACTAGAGAAGTAAGCAGAGGCCAGGTCATGAAGAGAAATTTAGACTTTATCCTGAAGGCATTGGTAGGTTTTTAAGCAAAAAGATAACTTACTTTGGCAAGATAAGAATAGCCAGTTGAAGGGGGGTTTAGGTGGAGGGTGGGAAGGTACGAAACTGGAGACTGTGAGGCTAATGATGGTGGCCTGAACTTAAGTAGAAGCTTTGGGGATAGTTGTAGAGGACTATTCCAAGTTAACTTTTTATTAATGAGGAAGAACGTACAGAACTTCATGATTAATTGTAAGTGGGAGAATGAAAGAGCATTTTCAGAGATGACTCTCAGGTTTCTGTCTTGGGCAACTAGGTAAATGGTAAGACTAGTAACATGTTCAAAGACAGGAAATATAAGAGAAAGCACAAATTTTGGGTGTGTGGGAGGTGGAGAATAGAGATAATTTCAGTTTTGTAAATGTAAATTTTTTATTATAAAATGCACATTATATAAAATTTACCATTTGAAAGTGTACAATTCAGTGACATTAAGTATGTTCACAGTGTTGCACAACCATCATTACTATCCAGTTCCAGAACTTCTTCATCACCCCAAAAGGAAAACCCATCCCTATTAAACAGTCACTCCTCAATACATGTAGATTCTGAGGCAATTGTGTGACATCCAAATACAGATGTTAAGTAGATATTTGGATATGTACTACTGAAGCTCAGAATAAAAATTCAGGCTGAAGATACATATTTTTGAAACATTAGCATACAAGTAGGGATTCTCAACCTGGGGCCTATGGACTTGAGTGAGAATCTCTGAATGTCTTGAATTGGATATAAAATGTATATGTATACATATATATGTTTATTTTTATGAAGTGTCTATAGCATTAATTAAATTCCCAGAGGAATTTCTTTTTTTTTAATAAATTTATTTTATTTTTTAAATTGTTGGCTGTTTTGGGTCTTCGTTGCTGCAAGCAGGCTTTCTCTAGTTGTGGTGAGCAGGCTTCTCATTGCGG